TATGCACAAACGCTGATGACCGCGACCGGCGCTCTAGCTTGCCGGCCGCGACTCCGGCAGCATTTATGATGCGAAAGCGGGGAGTCTCATCCTGACTAGCGCCAATCTGTTTTACAGAAGGCATGCATGGGGCAAGTCAGTCCAGAGCAGTCTAGAACTGAATGTCAACTTACGAACGTTTTTTAAAACAACCTTCTGCCTTGTGGCATGAGGCTGATCTGCGCCAGTGATTGGCAACCAAAGCCAAACATTTTGCAATTTGCGGCATTCGGAGTAACTGTGATGCGTAAACCTTTATCAAAAGCCCCCTTCCAATCGGTATCGCAGTAGAGGATTTTGTTTTGCCGGCTTGCAGCGGATTGCAATCCGAGTCGTCAGTACTAGCACACTCAAAGAAGCAGCTGTCTCCAAACATTGGCGAGCCACTGGCGACTTAGGAGGCGCGCAAAAGCGCTCTCAGGTCACTGCCTCTGGTATCTCCAACGGCACTTTTCCCAGCTCCTCGTACGGCAAAGCACCAAGCGACAAGGATGGCTACAGGCACCCCCGTGCAACGTCAGCTCGTGGTGCTGGCTGCAGCAGTAGTGGCGTCATTCTGGGTGCTCAACGCTCAGCCCGCGCTAGCGTACCGCACGCTCAGGCCCTCGCCCGGGCTTGACGACCAAAGTACTGACATGCTGGGAAACATTGTCAACCATTACGCGTGCGGGTTCTACGACACCGCAGACCCTAGGGACGGCGGGTTTGCGCACCAGCCGTGCTATGGAGCTGACAGGGCCATCCAGTTTTGCTGGTGAGTACTGATAAGCTGATGAACTCAGCACTTAGACAAAGACCTTGAACAAAACCATCGACATATGGCACACCATTCTGTTTAGAACATGGAAGTATGCCATTGACCAACCATGCCGACAAAGCAAAGTTGGAGCTAGGCCCGGGTGCTTTCTGGAAGAAAAAGGTTTAGAGTTCATAGGGTAAATGTCTATACGGCTAAGTAGGTTCCAAAAGTATCTGAGTTTCTTTTTCTTGGTTGCAGTAGGCTTCGACCTCGTTCCCACCAGAAGCACTTTTGTGGTTCATATTTTGTTCAAACTCGAGGCCGGTTTCTACATCTTCACGTCAGACCCGTGTTATTACCTGACCGGGAAACCGCACCTTCCGGTTGTGCGCCTGCCCAAAGCTAGGTTCTAGACCAGGGTTTCAGACCGGCAAGCCTGCAGTTCGTTCTGTTCAGGCGACTTCACACTTGTTCACATTCTTAGCCTTATTGTTTACCCAGCTTTACAGCATCCCAGCCGATTTACCTTCCATGGTAAGCCGAGAGGTTGACAGAAGCAAACCCAAGTGACACGTTTCCATCTCTTCCTCTGCAGCCTCTCTGGAAGCTCCAAGTGCTCCTGCCCGGCTGCGGCTGGATATACCATGGGATGCTTCAACTACGTAAGCTAACAATTGCGCAAAAGAAGTAGCTTGAACTAAAAACGCGAGATCGTAAGCTGTGGGTTTCATGTTCAAACAAACCCAAGATGAATTCTCCGTGGCTCGCCAACTTTGTTCCCCCGCCCCAAAGTGGCCTGTCAGGAAACGGGCCACTGCCGGAATGGTATCTGAAGTATTAGAAAGGGCTGCTAGGGCTCTGAGTCACAGAAAGCGCATTCTAGAAGCTTGTTAAGAACTAAAATGCAGGCGATATGTATGAATATCCACAGAGTAATAGAGGCGCCCCACGAAGATCGTCGATCTGCTGTGCCTGAATCTTGGAACACCAGATCATGTGGGCAGCTGTGTCAAGGAGAATATGAAGCTTTTCCTGTGCGCTCCTTCTCTCAGCGAACTTGCTCGAAGCAAACAGCAGAACGCAATGGTCCTCGGAAAGATGCTCCGTTGAATCAAACGGCAAGAGCAAGTTTCGGGAGTCGCTTCAGTGGTAAAGTTTGATTTACGAACCCACTTTCTCTTACGAGTCTCTGACGGAGTGGTAAGTTTTGGAAGTAAAAGTTTTCAGCCTGAGATAAGTTTTCCAATTTCGCAACTCTAATACTCTCGAGATCACCTGTTCTGCATCCGGACCCACGCTAAACCCGCGCAAAACCTACGCAAAACCCACGCTGAACCCACGCTAAACCCGCGCCCCTTATACTCACCCACCCATCCCAGGCTGGCGAGCTTTCCGTTCCCAACGTCTACTAATCCTGTTCGAAAGCCATCTGACTTAAGCGCTCCTCCGCTCACAGGAGGACGGCCACAGCCTCAACGCCAACACCGGCGAAGAGTGCGGCTACTTCCTCCCAAACGAGGCGCCTCCGACCTCCGTGCGCCGTTTCCTAGCAGCTTGCCAATGCCCACAAGAAGACCTGTGCGGAAACCCCTTGGTTCAGAGTAACCCCGGGTCGAACCTGAGGTGCAACCCTAACGGAGGGCCGCCGGCGGATGCCTGCAACTATGACAAGCGCAACGGGCAACTGAGAGGGGATTCGAACTCGACGGGGTGCTGCCCCAACATAGGTCCGTGCGGTAGCGGTAGTCAGTAACTGTTTGAGGCGCTTACTGCCGGTGTTAATTGGTGTCAAGCGCCAGCGAGGAAGGCATGGTAGTATCTCTCTTGACACTCGTTGGATGGGCTGAGTCCTTGGAAGAAGTTGAACGGATGTGTATTGATAATGGATGCGTGACTGAGCCAAGAGCGTTTGTAATTTACCTCGTTTATCGAGACACTCAGGCCCGGTATGGACTCGAGCTGGGGAATAGACAGTCAAGCTACTGGTTGCCAGATCAGACTGATGTGTACGAGTGTTCTGACTCGATCACTGCAGTGTAAGGAAGCGGAAAAGTCAACACCGGTATCGATGGATGAGTTGTCTGTCCGATTCCCTGGTTGAGGTTGCCGTACTCAAAGTCCTGTGGACACGATAGTAGAAGCAGGTCTTAGATCAAGGGTTGCTGAAAGAAGTCAAAGTCGAAGAAAGCTGCAAGTCGGTGGCGCGTCAAACAACAAGCAAAGTTGATATGATCCATGGTCGTTTCCGTCAACGGAACGGCGACCGACTCGACGTGGTCGATGGCAAAAGGGCCTTAAAAGATGGAGTCTGTAGGCTAGACGAGCTTCTCAAGAGCAAACAAAATTTTTGTCAAAGTTGTTGAAGAAGCCCTCTAGGGCCTTCCTAGCCAAGCTTGAAGAGGCGTCAAGACTCAAAACTTGGGACGCGGTCGAGTCTTGGCCCGACTTTCGCCACTTTGTCGTGACTAGTGACACGCCTGGTGGTTATTTTTACTACATCAAGCCACAGGGGCCGGGGCGGCCATCGTTCAGATGGTTTTATAAGGCATAGGCAGCTTCGTGGCATGCATGTGGGTCCCATAGTACCCTGGCGGAGCTTCACGAGCTCCAACTCAGCGCTATCACGATCCTTCAATTCGATGTTGTCATTGTCTACCGAGTACATCTAAAGAATGATCATGGCTACTCTTCGATCGACCCGCAAATCGTCACGGACGTACATGCATCGAACAGCGGATCATTCTCTAGAATAGGTATTTAGTAAGCTGAGTCAGCTTATACTAAGTACTGGGACGGGTAGGGTTAGTCTGGGGGTCAGGGTGGGTACGTGTGCGGAGCGAAGGACTATTTGGAATGGTTCTTCTGTGTCAGCTTCTTTCTTGCTTACTATGAGACCAGCCGGCGCTCCGTCTGAAGAGCCCCGGATTGCCCTCGCATCACTGAGCCGAGACCTCCAACTATTTCTATGTGGCATCTAGGGCCGGGCTGCTGTTTGGTTGAGCCGGGAATCCAGACTCGGGCGCAGGGCTTAAGCTTTTGACGGGGCCCGCCACCAAATGCAGCACTCCCAAATCCTCCCGGATGCGAATCGCCAAGAAATCATAAAATCAGCAAGTCCTTTTCACGACGGTCAGCAATCGTTGTGTCAGCTCGAATATCTACAAGAATTTCAAACTCTGCGGCCGCGTCAAAACGGCTGCCGGCCGCCACTCTGGCAGCTTTCACTGCGAAGGCCGGGGAATCTCATCCGGCCGGGTGGCGCGCTGCGTCACCCATAAGCATCTCCGCTTGATCGATCTGACGCTAGTCCCACTCGACCGCGGGCCGAACCCCAACTTGTTCTGGTGTTTGCGCCTGAGGCCAACTGTGTCTGCGCTGGGACGGTACTACAGCCAGGGACGCCTGAATTACAGCCAGTCAAGTTGCTTCAAGAGCAACGCAACCGCAAACCTACTCGTGGCCAGCATGGATGTGTCTGCACTGCATGTGTCCAAGGTAATTTAGTATGAATATAAGTGCGGATGCCACATCGGCAATTTGATGGCTGCCAAAAGAAGATTCTACATGGTTCCAGGCCGGGTATTCGGGTCTTCGTGGAAAGCAAAGTCGGCTTGCAGACACCAGCAACTCCTACTCTTAAACGACAACTAGCTGTACAGACACCAACTTTTCTTGGAAGCATATTCTACCAATCCTATCCAATCCCGTCTTGTCGTTTCAACCGTCAGATCTTTACCACTTGCATTTTCTGATCAACGTGAACATAGCTCACAACTACGGCTTTCAAGCTGGCTTTACTCGATCACTTTCTGACCACAAATGTTCCGCCAGACAAGTTGGGCACGTCTTCAACCTGAAACAAAGCCCGTTAAGAACACTCGTCTAGGACCTCAAACACCATAAGACGTAGTATGTGTCCGCGTTCGATTCAGTTTCGAAGCACTCAGGCTGCGCGAACTTCGGCTGACTGGCTACCACCCGGCGGGGCCCAAACGCGTCCCGCGCCCGACATGATTAACGTCCCGTTTGGATGTTGGTGAAATTCTGCAACATCGTCATGTTCTTCGGGGGCTCCGGCCCGCCGCTCCGAAACCCATTCATGGCATCGCCGACAATACTGGAGCCTCCCGAAATGGAAGGGGCGCCATAGGACCCCTCCGAGCCCGTCAGCGAATTTGTCACGACGGCGGGTCTGTAGTTGTTCTCGAGGCCGCCGCTAGGGGGGACGAAGACCTGTTCTGCGGACGGCGGCGATCCGGCCGTGATGCCGATCAACTGCTCGATGCGCTGGTGGACCTGCGGAGGACAGGGAAAGGTACATGCGTGAGTTGGCTCGTGTGCCAGATCCGACTAACGATCGAAAGAGAGACGGTAGACTTCTTTCCGTAAGCGGAGGTAACAAGAGTCTTGGTTTGTGCCGTTCGTTTTCAAAGGCAGTTAGTTCTACGGGTCCACTTCAGATTAAATCCTAGGTTTAGCAGGAGCAGCCCCCCTTGTTCATGCAGTTTTGACGCTTTCCGCGTATCCGAAGGAAGAGATGAAATGTATAATGGAAGGGTTCGCAAAATTTATAAGGTTGACATTCTGACAGTCTGCTGAAACGTAACTGAAGCTCCAATAAAGTGTGTTGTCAGCAACGCTCCCCGGATGTGCAAAAGGAGGATCGAAGCTTTATCACCTGACGAAGTTCCAAGCATCCCTTGAAATTCGGAAATATAAGGACGTTGAGACCTGCTTTAAGCACTTGTCGCTTGTCGAATGTGTAGGCAAGACTTTAAAACGCCCCCACTGACAGGTGGAAAATGACAAGAAGAATCAAATGCATACCACGAGCTTCACATCAGCTACTGAATTATAAAGACCTCGAAATTCTGGTTGCTTCGTTCTGGGGCCTGCTAGTTGCCTAGATTGCATGAAATCTGATCCACTGGCAGATGACGTGTCTGCAGGCCCCCTGCCAAAGTCAAAATGTTTCAAATCGGCCATTCTCCGTAAGTGAATTGACAAGGTGATGTACTTCGACTGACCAACTCCCTGAGAACGTGACGTACAATGAGAAGAAGAACGGGAAAACGCCCGAACAGGAGGACGAGCTAGCAGAAGAACGGAAGAATAAAAGGATAGAACGACACGCACTTGGGCAGCCAGAGGACGAGCCTTGGGTTCGTTCTGGTTCATGCACTCAACGGCCAGCTGAATGAGTCCGATGGCCTGCTGAGGATGGAAGTTACCCCCTAGCGCAGGATCCATTAGAGTCAAGGGCTGGTTCCTGTTTTCAACGACCTGCACATAAAGCACGGTTTTGCTCTCAACCCACTCTGCCATTTCAAGGGTGCTAAACCACCACTAACTAGTCTCATCTGGAGGTCACCGTGCTTGGGGAGGCGTTATTCATCTCTGGCCGAGGACTGTTCCGCTTTTTTGAAAAATGCAATCCTACCAATATGACTCGGATGCGACAAGCCTTTTCAGCACTTCAGCCTGAGTCAATAGCGCTACGCATTCGTGGTACCTGCCAGTGAAGGTTTGCGTGCACAAAGTGAACGTATACCAGTCTTGCTCAGATGAGTGCGTTGGCTTTTCAAAAGCGCTGGGCAACTCAAAAGTGTCAAACCAGATTCTTTCGGCAGGAATCGTGAGTTTTGTAAAGTTTTTGATTGTGAAAACCTCTTATAATTGATATAGTTGCCGGTCTGCGAGCTAGAAAAGGGACTTGATCAGCTAGCGTATATTGCGTGCCCGGGGTCCGCTAGTCTTTCAAGGTGGTTGGGTAGACCGGAAACCGAGCAACAAAGCGTAGCAAACGGAAAACAAGGGCTGTTTCTAATCCGGCCATTCTGAAAAGCTCTCCTGGGACGTGACGCTCGTTCAAGTTCGAGAACGACAAAAGAGTGGGTGAGAAAGAGACGGGAATCTAAAAGAAGTCTAGGACCAAGAATGGACAGTTTTTGTGTGGAGCTGCTGTGATCTCATTTTCATACAATCCAACGTTTACTGTTTTTGAAACGGACGAAGCTCAAACCAAGAAGACCGTGTGTCTCGCACGTTTCGGAAACACCATACCGATTCAATAGAAATGAAAGATCCTAAAGATCTGTACAGAAGCCGATTGGGGAAAAAGCCAATTTGAACAGCCGCTTCAATTCGCCACTGCAGGCGAAAACGTTCGAAGGATGCGCATGGCGAGTCCGTGCGTATATTCTCATCCAACTGGAAGACGCACTGGAAAAGTGAAAAAACCATGAAGGCGTGTTCTGCCAGACCCTACGATCTGCCAGTGTAACTCACCCAGTCACGCAGGGCAACTTGATCATTCCCCATTTGGAAGGTGCACGGACGGCCAGTAACCAGCTCGGACAGAAGCACGCCAAGGCTGTAGATGTCGGTGTACTTGCTAACCTGAGGGTCGAAGCGGAAACTTCTTGCAAACCTTCAACCGTAGCAAAACATGGGAACCAGAGGAGAATCTCCACGCAAAATAGCTTTGAGGACTACGACGCATGACCTAGTAAGTTTTTATCCCTGATCAGGCTCTGGATGAACGATCCTCTAGCAGCTGCTAGACTGTGAGTTGGCCAGACGACTGGGATCAACCTTAATACTTCTTCTGCATGCAACGACTGGATCCCCACTAAGAAGCGAGGAACGAGAACTTCAAGCACATGGACGGACCTGACCTCACCTGTCCAGACTGAAGGTATTCAAGCGCGACATAGCCTGCAAGCAGAATGAGAACATAATGCATTTAGGTTGCGCGTCGACCGAAGACCTACTTGGCCTCCAGTGTTGCCTGTCAGTACCGGCAGGTAGGAGGTACGGTACCTTTCAGGCCAGAGCACTGTTCTGGTATGTACCTCGGTTCACCACGTGCATGGATCGACCAAGCCATTCGATTGGCTACAAAATCTGAAAATCCTTTTGCAGCTTTTTGTTCGACGCGCACCCTTACTTCAAGTAGCGGAATGCTGTAAGGACACCGGAAAGGCATAACTCTTGACGTAAGCCCAGCCCGAAGCATTGACTGAGAACCTATGTACGTACGAATGGAATGTCACCGACGGGCATTCAAAAAAAAATCAACGAGGTTGCGCCACGCCGAACCAGGCAGCCGTTGCGCAGCTTTGACCCTACATACTGGCACCGCGGCAGTGGGTTAAGGAAGGCGCCTCAAAACCCAGCTGCCAGCCCTCTTTGATCAGACGCTGACACAATATTCGTTGGGCTGGTTCAACTGGCCAATTCAACAAGGTAGAAACCAGCTCTCACTCCGTCATTCACACGCGCTACCTTTAAGGAGGACCCGCCTTTCCTAAACCTTCAAGGGCCCAGAGCGAAGCGAACTTTGTCGAGAATCAGGATATTCAAGTTCTCGGTTCCGCAAGATTCTAATTTACGCGCGCTGAGGGGCGTAGAAATTCTAAGTTAGAGAGCCCTTGCCTCGGGTTCCCAAGACGCGAGTCCGAGCTGATACGGCGCCCGGGCCATCCTCGAACCTGGCCACGCCAAAGTCGCTCAGCTACAAGGAAGCAGTCAAATTAAGCTTGTTAGCTACGTCATTCGTGTACTCAAACGATGCGCTCGAGTAGGTAAAGCTAGTCGAGATCGGAAATAATCAGTGCCTGTTGCCAGTCAAGTGGATGACGTCCGACTGTGTTTGATTGCAGGTGGAGCGTCACGGACAATGACCAGAAGGCCTGGCAGTGCATAATCCTTAGAAAAGACCGTCACAAAGAACTTTATTTAGACGCAACCCGTTCACAAACTCATTGCCTGGCTTGACAAGAACGGTCGGACAAAAGTTGAAAAGTTGCCAGGAATTGGAAGAGAGAGCGCAAATCGAAGTGGAAGACCTAGCAATCAGTATTAAGAGTGCTTCATGCTCGCGCGTGCATCAACTTGCACCCGCAAAAACCGGACCGCTTGCATTGCTAACCTCAATAGATACCAAACCAGCGATGCCAACAGCAATTTTACCTTGGCAGCAAGTCTGTTCTCATCAGCAAAGAGGACGTTCGCGCTCTTGATGTCCCTGAAATGGATTCAAGGGGAGTATATATATACTGTCAGGTACTTCCAGGAATTATGGAGACTACACTCCGACTTATTCCTGCTGTGACGGGGTTGACGTTGCATAGAGACAAATGGATCGACTCTTTCCAGCTGAACGTGCACATCGAATACTGAAAAGACTTGAACAGTTTAATCCCTGCCGCACTGCGCACATCAGCTGTGTATGGGCCTTGCCTGAAGTAAGACGAGAAGTAGTAGCTAGGCTCCAAGAGTTGGATATCTCAAAACGAGAGGATTATTGTCCATCGACCAACACTGGTACGAGGAGGTATCTCGATAATTCCAGACCGTTTGATTCAAAAGTTGGCAACCTCGCTGGCTTGCCTACCTCAAAATGGATCAGAGAGAAACAAGGACTGGCTCGCCCGTAGACGACTCTTATGAGGACGCGAAGCTCAACCGACGCTCATATCTGCTTTATAAAATATCCCGAGTGGCTCGACCTGAAGACACGCACCCAAACTCGATTCTGGCGCATGCAGACAAAGCTTAGGCGGCCTTGCATCAAAGTTTCGAAGTTCTCATTAGGCACTTCTCTTCCTCCTTCGTTCTTCCGACATAGGAATCAAGAATAGCATTAATGCATTTAGAAGCAAACCCAAAATTTGAGATCATATTGTCTTACCTATGCAGAATAGGCGGTTCTACGCCGTCGTGCAGATACTCCAAGCCAATCGTAACGTAGAGCGCTGTGCGGAGGCGCTTGTTCCAGTCCAGCCTGTCAGGGCCTGCAGGAGGAAACAGAACGAACGTAAGCCAAATACCTGCGGGCGATACGAGAGAAGGAAGGGCCGGGCATATACAAGCGGAACGGAGTAGGCATTAGCAGTCTATCTAACTCCTTGCTCCTCTTATAAGATCCTGATTGTCAATTTCACTTTTCCAGAATGAGTTGTGTGGGAACAAAGCAGCAGCAGCAACTCTTACCATGGAGCGCTTGGAACAGAGTGCCCCCCTTGCAGAACTCGAGCACAATGATCCGTTCTGTGCCTGCAGCCGCGTATCCAAGCATGGACACCAGGTACTTGTGACGCAAACGGCTCATGATAGCCATCTCGGAGTAGAAGCTCTCGTTGTTGGGCCCCTGCATCAATAAGGCATTTTCATCTTTAATCACAGGTGCTTCAAGTTGATCTCAACTTTGGATGAGCTCAAAGGGTGACTGCCGTCATTGTAATCGGGATTGCAAACAAAGTTTTTGGACAAGTAATTACCGAACACCTGTGACTTTCGCCGCTGAAAGGGGTATTGAAGTTGCAACTCGAGCTCACCGTGTACAGGCCTGGCACCTGCCAGTATGTGACTGGTCTTTACTTTTGACTTTTGTGAGACTAGAATTCTGAAGATGTTAACACACCGTGACCTTCCAAGTAGCTGTGTAGGGTCTGATTATAACTCAAACCTAGCTTGAAAATCATTTAGGAACACAGAAGAAGTTCAAGGATTATCTTTGTGAGGAGCTAGATCTTACCAGAGAAGAGCTCAGTTCTATACCTGCGATTAGAGGAAGGCTGAAGGTGAAAAGTTGCTAGCTTACATTTACAGGGTCAGATTGCAGGACCTTCACCGCAATGGCCGTGCCATCCGCTTGCATCCCTCTGTAAACTGCAAAGAAATGACGGGCCGTGGCCTGTCAGTTATACCAACTGATCGGTCTTCTCTCTTTCACAGACTGGCTGGTGTTAACAGCTTGCAGCTTGCTCATTATCGGAACCTTCAAGTTGTTTCGTTGGATGCTAACAGCAGTATCAAAAGCGTTTGAACCAGAGCAGCTTTCGAATTTGGAGATTTGGAGAGCCAGCTGATCAGGCAGCAACAATCCTTATGATGAGCTTTAGGCAGCAACTATCCAGCACGAAAGTGAAACAAGAAGCATATCATGGCGCGTTCCAATGATGTGCAAACGTGTATGTCAGGGCTGGAAACTTGTCAAAGTGGCGAAAAGTGCATGTTAGGCTTCATTGTGCGTTGAAAAGAATGCTGGGGCTGTCAGCGCTGCAAGCTACCACTTTAAGCTGGATGCCATTCGCACTTCGACATTGTGACTGCCAAAAGCATGCAAAGGAACAGATGCTGAACATCATGTCTTCCCAAGATTTGGAAGCGGACATACTCAATCCTTGTTTATATACCATGATCAAGGTTCATCATCATTGACGGAGAGTGTTAGGGAACCTCTCAATGTACACGTCTGCCAGATGAGATGAAGTTATCCTTACCCTTTGAGAAGCCTCCTTGGCCGAGCAGGTTGGAGACACTGAACCCGTTCGTTGAGTGGAGCAACTCCTCATAAGGGTAGACCTTGCTTGTGCCATCTCCGGCAGGGGTTGCAAAGGACAAACCGCTTTCACCTGATGTTGGTGGGAGCGCTCCAGCCTGAGGATTAGCGTATCCTGGCAAGAAGAAGATAAGACGTCTGAGGGCGCAGAAGGTATATGATAACAGCAAAGTAGAGACAACCTGGATACCCCTGCTTCGAGTTTCTGCTTGCATGTCTGTCCAGTTAGTTCGAAGAAAAGAAAAACAAAAGCACCTATGAGAGGTGCGTGCAGAATCTTGATTCTCTGCTGAAATAACGTGTTGAATTGGCACAGGCACACACAACCAAAGAGGTGAAAAACTGTGGTCGGGCCTGGGGGACAGGGTCATTGGCAAGACAACACCACGCCGGGACCAAATCTCTTTTGAAGCCCACAGTGTGACAAGACTCAAGACCCTTTTTCGTTTTCAAAGACTGCCTGCTACCATGCATTGATTACCCTAGGGAGCTACCGAGGGTAAGCTGAGCTGCTCATTGCTGATCCAGAGGACAATCATGATGACAGGACAACCAGCTTCTGCGCTTTTAAGAGTCAGCCTGAGGAGAAACAACGTTGCAAAATCGGAATCAGAAAGGTGGCGAATGCAGTAATTTAAAATCGCAGCAGCAGGGCCAGGGTCATGAACATCTGTCTACCACGGCATCTGCCAGTGCGGGTCAGCTGGGACCCTAATTGTGGAAGAGCTTACCAGGCAGTTTGGTTGGAGCTGCAGGGTAGTACGGCGCCGCAGCATCCTTGTATGCGTCATGATGGGTTGGGAGGTTGCTGCCAGCTCCTTTCTGCTGCCTCCTGCTTTTGAAGAAGCAGCAGAGGGCAATGCTGATGACTGCAGCAATAACAACTATAGCACCAACCACGCACCCTACAATAATACCAATGCTGGATCCACCGCTGGAGCCATTGGTAACATTTGGTGATGGAGAAGTCGGAGCTGGTGGGCTGGGAGGTGTCGTTACTCCTGAAGGGGACGTTGGCGGGTTGGAGGTGACCGGAGAAGGAGGACTGGGAGTTGTTACTGGAGTAGGGGGAACCGGGGTGACAGGGGCAGGTGGCGAGGGAGTTGCGACCGTGGTGAGGCTCGAGCGATACTCGCAAAACACCACAAAGTCGCAATCGCTGTCGATGATGACGCTGAACACGCGGGAGGCTGCATTACAAGCGCTGGGATTGGTGGCGGTTGCGCAGGTTTGAGCTATGGTCTCGTCAGTGCAATAAGGAGAAGCGGCCACGTTGCACAGGTACTGCTTGAGCAGGGGGTTTGCGTTGCAGAAGTCATCGTTGCCTGAGCCCCTGTAATACCAACCCGAAGCAGGCAGCAGGCTGATCTTATACTCATAGTTATTGGTTGCGCAGATGTTGGATGAGAGACGCACTCCCAGGGTCGGTTTCAGAGATGAGAGGGCAGTGAGGGCCAGCAGCAGCAAGAAGCGCGACAGCATAACTGCTGGCAGGGGAGCCATTTTTGAGCGCAGCCTGAATGGCAGCAAGGCGCGGTAAGCAGAGAGGTTTACAGACGGCGCGCAGCAGACTGCTTAAGCTTTCACAATGTTACAAGTCCCAATGACGGGCGCAAAAAATGTGCTGCTTGAAGTCCTCAGGGGGTCCTCAGCAGCCTGCTCGATAAAGTTAAACTCAAGCAAGCGCTCTCAAGTCCTGGCCGCGATTGAGCTTAATTAGCCTTCCGATCCTTGATCAAGCTCCGCGGACCGCAATCCCTCGGTAATCAAGAACTAGCGCTAGCTCCATGACGTTACTTTAGGGTACCTTGCACTCAGGATCGACGTACCTCCAACCTCTGACGTACACCAGGCCAGTAGGGCCCCGGGGCCCGGCGCCCGGGGGTTACAGACGCACCCTTTAATTTCTTCCATCAAGCCTGATATGCTCCAGGCTCAGCCAATCACAGTACCTTGAAGACTACGAGGGCTTTCTGCTCAGTTGCACGTGCGTGTGCACGGTGCTTCCTTTCTGTTTGTTGTTCTCCGGCCTGCTCTGGACATGAGGTTGCGCCAGCTGGCACTCGGCGGACCATGGCAGAGTCACACCGTCCTACACGGTGGGGTTTGAACTGGGTACGATGCCGGAGTACCGGCCGTATGTCGAGACCGTGAGAACACAGCGGCACACATATACAAGGTACACACATTTGGTGACTCGGTAGACCGTAGGTTGTAAGTTTAAATAATTGTTGGAACTCTTACAGCGCTGTAGTCGGTCCTTTATTAGCAAGTTGGGGCCTTGGCAAGGACGTTCTCCGAAGTGCCAGCTGGGCCCTGGCGAACGCACACGGTCCAGCTAGACTCTGCCTAGATGCTGTTTGACATGCGCACTTGCTCAGTTCACATGCAACAGGATGCCCATGTCAGGCTGTCAGCTGTGTGTTGGGCAATCCCTCTTGCAGCTATTTGTGCAATCCCTCATGCAGTGCTCACTGCTCACTGTCATTGCTCAGTGCTCACGTACCGGTCAGACCCTGGAAATTCCCCGATCTTTCCGGAGCTAATGATTGGCACATCCTGTACACTCCTTCTTGGTACACTATGTACCGTACATTGCACCTTCCTGGAGCAGATTCGAGGGCCGAGGCTGTTGATGAAACCTCTACCGAAATTTTCTCACAAGTACGCAAGAGCCAAGTTTCACGATATATATTCACGGTCCCTGGTTTTACTACGGGGCAAATTCATGTGCAAGTTCGAAATCGGAATCATGCTATCATGCATTCAGGATTTTGGGCAAGTCGAGGAATATTTGGTTGTTGCCGTTGGTACCGGTACTTTCAGGTACGGTACAATAGGTACGGTATGGCAGGCCCCCTAATTTCGATGGTACCGCACTGCATGCGCAATCTCAAAATGTACCCAGCTTGTACGTAATGAGAATTGGTGAGCAGGGGGTCAGCACTACCAGACGGTACCTACAACCGTACTTCTTTGGGATCACTTGACGCGGATAACTTATAGTGCATATGACCGCCCGCCCTGCGCAAATTGTGCATTCCCCCTGTCAGCTCTCCGCTCAACTCCATTCCAATGATTGGCAAAGGGGATTTTGGTCTTCCAAACGGCTACGATAGAATCGCCATATGAATAAGCTGACTCGGATATTAATCGAATGATTTGCACTGCGCAGTGCGCAATACTGATGATTGAAAATGCACAACTTGAGCGATTGCCAGTTGGCGAAAGTTCAAGAGAAACGTTAAAACTAGCTAGGGAGCGCCCAAAGTCTGAAAAGAATGTCGGCACATTGCAGTTTGTTGTCATGTCGGAGCCGGGGCCCGGTACCGTATAGTTGCTACGTCCGGGGTGCAGGATGACGCCAGCTTCTCTGGCGTATACGTACAGCCAGACAACTGGCAGCCTTTCACTTTTTGAGCGCAAGAACGGCAGAGCCTTTGAAGTGAGAACTCCCCCAATCCAAGGGATGCCCGTGGGATGCCCCTTGCCATCGAGGCCAGGCCGGCGTAGACTTTGGTGGTTGTCTCAATTTCGTATCATTATAGCTGCAAAGCTGGCCACTGCAGCTCGCGATGCAGAACTCGCTCTGATTGACAAGCTGGAGGTAAAATCGCTTCCAAAAGGTCGCGAGCAGCAAATTTTCTTTGCGAAGAACAGTCACAGTGGTCTCGCTTTCAAAACTAGACTTCAGGTTGGGAATTTTCCATCGGCGGTCGCATCCTCCTTCCAAGGTTACAAGTCTGCCCCCTACAACAATGGCTCCCCTGCAAGCTGCCCGGTCGGGCCTCTTGCTGCCGCTGCTGGCCCTCATTGCCCTCTCATCTCTGAAGCCAACCCTGGCGGTGCGTCTCTCATCCAACATCTGCGCAACCAACAACTATGAGTACAAGCTCAACCTGCTACCTGCTTCGGGGTGGTACTTCAGGGGCTCAGGCAACGACGACTTCTGCAACGCAAACCCCCTGCTCAAGCAGTACCTGTGCAACGTGGCCGCGTCCCCTTACTGCACCGATGAGACCAAGTCTGAGACCTGTGCGGCCGCCAGCAGTCCCAGCGCGTGTAACGCAGCCTCCCGCGTGTTCAGCGTCATCATCGACAGTGATTGCGACTTTGTGGTGTTCTGCGAGTATCGCTCGAGCATCACTCCGGTGTCAACGTCTTCTCCCCCGGCCCTGACTCCTTCTGCGCCCCTCGCGACTCTGCCAGTGGGCACTCTGCCGGTTGCCACCCCTCAGCCGTTGCTGGTTTCCCTTGCACCAAAGCCTGGTGACGTGGTTGTACTGTCCGCCTTTGCCCTGGGGAGCGCGGAGTACACCTGCAACGCTTCCAGTAAGTGTGCCCGGTCTCTAACCTATCTGTCGTCCAGATTCCGTGCAGTAGTTGAGCTCTGCACTGTCTTGCCGAGTGCGTTAGCAAAAGCAAACAAAAGCTCCAGCTTTTGGCTGCGCAGACAATCTTGCACATTCGGCAACCTAGTGATGGTAGCATGCATGTCCCCAGTCTGATTTGCCACTGCCTTGGCTTGACGCGTGCGTTGGACTCCTGAGGGACTGTTCAATCGTTTTACTGATCATGCTGCTGACAGGGCAGTGCATTACGAAAGAAACCCCAGAATGACTTGTCCTGTATTTTTCGTTGTGATCATACACAGAGTTGATCTGTCCGTTTAAGTAGCCAGCCCTTGCTAAGCTGCAGTTCCTGAAAATCTCTAAATTGAGGCAGTACCACAACTAGTACAGACCATGAAAGATGGGGCGCTGCCAGTGCTTCCCAGTAAGAGTTGCTCGTGCCATGTGCCTGGTCACCAGAACAAGAATTTCTTAACCTCCTTTCCCACGTGCAGACGCCCTTTTTGACAACGGGACGCTTTCTGCCACCCTCTATAGCGTGGCCAATGGCGCCGTCCTTGGGAACCTTTCCAATGTTGTGTCGCTCCAGGGACAGCGTTTGTCCATTTTCGATCTGAGCAATGGCTCCGTGACAATTGATATGTCAACGTCCCGAACCTTTCCGTCACCGACAAGCATTCCTAGGGACGGTAAGCTAGCCTTCTCTCAACCATTCCCGCGAGTTTCTGACGCCAATGCGCACACATTAGCTGTCTGCTGTTCTCTGCATACTGAGACCAGTAGTTGCTACATGCAGTCTTTGCAGTTCCTCGAGGCTGAAATCCTTCGAAGAGCACCATAATCTCGATGTGGGCTCCTTCGACCTCTGCTAGCTTTTTAGCTTGACCATTGACATCTAGACTCGAACGTGAGAATGATCTTTCAAATCCTGTTCTGATCAATTCCTTGATTCGCCTGCTGTCCTAAGCTTATGCTACGTTCACTCGTAAACAAACGCGTAAACCCCAAACATGACGAGATTAGATTGATAATAAGAAGCAGTGAAAAGAAAGCTAATGCACCAAAGCTAAAACCGGTGCAGGTGGCTATGGCTCGCTCATGCAAACATACTCGTCAGCCACGGGAACTGGCGCTTTCGCCACCGTCAGATTTGCCACAACGAGCGACATTTCGGGGGGCATGCTACCACCCAATGCTCCCTGCCCGGTCTTTGCTTTCCCAACGCAGACCCTGCGTCCGTGGAGTGTGCCGTATCAAGCCACTTACAACTTTTTCAGCGCGTATACTCTTCCTTGAAGCAAGCTGAGAAGATTGTCGGGTTTGAAGAGAGATATCATAGAATCGAGAGTATTATGTTAGTGTAATTTTACTCATACTTTTGGACCTCTACCTGTAGATAAGAGTAGTCACCGCGTGTGAGCTAGATCAAAGTGGACTGTGAAAAAACTTTACTCATACACCCAGGCACTGGCAGGTAGAGAAGCACATGACGTACCAAACATTTCCGACCTGCTAAACATACGCGGATGTGGTACGATGTATGTGGACCCATCGTGACTTCTGATCATTATCACGCAGACCATGAGGCCCACGTGGTGTCATATTGTTCGTTGAGTTGTTATCATATGTCACTTAGAAGTTTTTCAAATCAATAGCGCCGAAAGGCGTTAAAACTCGAGACGCGGTCAACTTTCTCAGATCGAACTTAGCGTTTTTTCGTACGTCATTTGTGACATGCGTAGCTAGTGTTTATCTTTCACTTGGCCATATTCATGGGGCGGGCCGGCCACGTACGATCATTCATGCAGCTCTACGGTTAGACTCAGAAGGCCGGCATAAGCAGCTAAGTTCAAGGCATGTATGTCGGGCAGCGGGCGGCCGCCCTGGCGGAGCTTCAAGCTAGCTCCGACTTCGCGCAGTCGTGATCACGTCGTCAATTTGCAAATGTTAAGCCGCTTGCACGCTCAAACTTCATATATAAACCGCTGCAACGATGTCTTGATTGTACATCTGTTGCATGCAACTTGGCAAATTATAAGCACATGAATTGATTGAACGTGACGTTGACGTCGATCAGTTGAGTGGGCACTAAGCACGATCATGATTCGGAGGCCGGGCCGCCTCGGCCGCTCGATCAGGGCAGCCTAGCTGACCCTGGCCGCCGCTTATATCATAAGCCTGGTACGCCGCGCGCTAGTCGGACGTCCGTCTCTGGCAGTATGCATGTGCAGTCGATAGAGTCATCACTCACTAGCTAACGTAGTCACGCTGACATCAGTATACTGTGGTGCAATGATGATTGCCGGGCGTAAAAGTGTTAATGCATACGTCCCTTGACTACGTACTAGCGACTACGTTCATGACTTAGGCACTAGAGTTCACCGTGACTTGTTGGCATGCATTGACAGAGCCTGTTGACCAGGTGATTCGGCCCGTGATCGAAGTCCCTTTCGATATTCTGACCGTCCCCCTAAGCTCAACACTGCGGTCGAGGTCCGCTTCCGACAGTACGCAATTGAAGAGATTGAATTGAAGAGATTGATCGAATTGAACAGATTGTGACAGGAATCGATCATCGGCCCAGGCTTCAGCTATAGTGGAATCTCGATCCTAGCCCTATATATGTGAAGTGCTTGTTGTCAGAAGCGCACGTACTGGCGGCCGGGTTCGGACGGCCGCGTCACGACAAAGTACCTATCAATTATACGGACAGTTTGCGTGCAATACTCCTGAAATGTCAGTTATTGTACACAAAGACCGCTCCGCCTTTAGTCCCACTGGAAATCGGAGATCCTATGGATCGGGGTCGCGTTCTTATTGAGTTGGACTAGATCAAATAGCTGTAGCATGGAACCGGCGAATAGCCAGGACCTGATAAACACGCAGGCTGTCATTGCACGAGAGTCTTACATAGAGGCTGCCGCTACGTTGGAATCGTCAACGAACCGCAGTTGAGAAGCCGTGGCAACACCTGCAACCACGACGGTTGCAAACCGTCAGCACTTCCCTTTTTTGGACATCTCAACGGGAGCCGGAAGGGCGTCTTTGATGATAGTCGAATCAGAACTGCCCACAAACGCCGCGGTAATCTCAAGGGGAGCTTTAAAGAGATTCACGGCCCCTATTTAAGAGATTCACGCTAGGGGCCGCTGAGTTCTTGTGATTGAGGGGAGTGAATTCGGAACTTGCGTATTGCATACGTCCATCAAGTGACGTCTGCAGCCAGATCATGAGAGGTGGCTGTTCTACCGAAGCCTCAATTAGCGCGATCGAGATCTGTGACTAAAACTCCTGATAGGGGCGGCACGCTCAACCGCGGTCTGCTGGATAGCTTATGCACCCGCCTGGAACGGCAGCGCCTCAAAATGTGCTCCGCTTTCCACCTTCAGAACCAACTCTGTCGAAAGCGTCTTAATAGTACAGATTTGGATTTGTGGTAACCAAATGCTCACCTCTCCTGACCGTGCCCCGACTCGAAGCGTCGCCAGATCGTCCGCACGTGTTGGGCCGACGTTCAGGATCGCGATTGGGGTACTCGCATCAGCAGCCGCTCTGTGAGGAGAGCGAATCAAATTGGTCACAAATCACGTTCTGCGGACTCCTGATGCTTTCGGCTCATATGAGGCTTTTATACAGACATACACGCTAGGATGTAAACAATCGAGTTGGTTTATCTAGCTCAATGTTAGGCCTCAAAACTTGAGACAATCTCGCGCACTCTAAACGCCACCTGGCAGGCCGGTATGCGGACAGCACCACAAGCGACGAGCCCACGACGAGCATAGCGTCCGAGTCCTGAGCCATGACCATACGGGCTTCTGCTCTCAAGTGCTTACACTGAGATATCAAAGCCTTGTGAACGGGGTTTTGTGCTCACATAGCAAGCCGGTATGCGGATAGTACCATAAGCGATGAGCCCACGACGAGCATAGCGTCCGAGTCCTGAGCCATGATCATGCAGGCTTCTGCTCTCAAGTGCTCAAACCGTGAATCCAAAGCTTTTGTGATTTGGGGAAACCGGTTTCGTATCTCTTAATGCTCACCTAGCAAGCCGATATGCGGACAGTACCATAAGCGATGAGCCCACCACGAGCATAGCGTCCGAGTCCTGAACCATGCCCATCGCGCAGTCGACGCGCCACTTGGGAACGTTGTCGCCAAAGAAAACGACGTCAGGCTTCAGGGTGTCGGCGCCGCAATTCTCGCAAACAGGGACCTGCAAAGAGTGAGCTGACGTCATTCTCACGTTGCTAACGCTAGGCTGACTGAGTTCGTTTCAGTCGTCGTTAGTGCTTTTGGAGCATCTCCGCAGATGCTTTGATTGTCGAAGTTCCAAGAAATGAAGCAAGCTGGCACAAGCAGTCAACATCAAGGAGAAAACTCTTTGCCCAACAGCTTTTACGAGTTCAAATTCTGACCTTATGGGCTTATATGGGCGTACAAAGTTGTACACGAGATTCCGAATCCGGAATTTCCGTACAAATTTGTGTGCATTTACTGTCATTTGTACACTTTTGCTTACACAACTCCAAGTCGGAACATCCCGTAAATATTGCAAAGCCCCGAGGTAGAAGATTCGCAAACGTCACATGCGGACTCCTGCATGGCTGAGCACAACGCGTGTCGTCCGCGTCATGGATTCTTGCAAAGCGAAGCGCTACGCACGTCGATTCTTGCCGCTAAAAGCTTCCTTTGAACAGCCCCTTCCAAAAACACCTTCGTCCAAGTCTCGCGCAACGGAGCGTCTGAGAATTCTGGACGGACACGAAGCCCGCAAATAATATCTCCAGAATTGTAGAGCAGATAATAATGCTTGAATAATGCTATAATATATTAGTGCTGTGATGAATTCCTGCAAGCTTACATGAGTGCTACTTGACCCACCTTAAACAGCCCCTTTCGAAGAAACTCCTCCCCAATCTCAACATCCCCGTCCGGCCGTTGCAGTCCGGGGGTCCCGGCCAACACGTCCTCTCCTCGCTCCGCCGCTTCGATAGAGTCGATCCACTGAGGGTTCGTTGCTGCGAGCTTTTCCTGGAAAATGGATAAAGGCAGAAATGAAGTCATGCACCGTCTCTACAGGTTGAAAGCATGTAACGGCCAACACGTCCTCTCCTCGCTCCGCCGCTTCGATGGAGTCGATCCACTGGGGATTCATCGCTGCGAGCTTTTCCTGGACAAGATGCGCTACAACGAGATCAAATGGAAAGACATAACAAAGTCCTGCCTGGTTACTCAAATGCGGAACAATTTGAAGTTCGTGAATAGCGTCCCTAACCCAGGGGCCAAACCAGGTTTCAAACATGGGGTGACAGGGGGTAATGGTTGGGGCTAACGGCAAAGAATCGGAGGAGATGGCTGCTTAAACGGGGCAGCGGTCTCGAGGTCTCAGATAGAACGCGTCTCCGAGCGTCGACAGAAACATTGCTGGCTGCAACTTTGCCCCAAAGTCGACTGTGAAACGGCTCGAATTGCGTCGCTCCTTATATCACGGCCCGTAAGACCCTTTTAAAAGGCAACACGGCGACTGCGCAGTGACAGGGCAACGTACGAACCCATGTTCACGGAGCGCAACAAGAACTCACCGGAGGAACAAGCATAGTGTTTCGCAGTTCCTTTTGAGGAATTCCGAACTGCTCAATGGTGTGCACTTTTCAGAACACCCGCGACTTTGCGAGGGCAGAGACTCACGAGGGGCTGCAAAGCCTCGCTCTCTCCCAACGTATTGCGAGACATTTGATGGCCATTTGCGAGGATGCTGAGAGTTGAATCCGAACATGCTCCGTGCCTTACTTGGAACATTTGTCGGTCGGTAAGGTCCTGGCAGTTCATGCAGACGACGTGATGGGTCGTCCCGTGGAGCTCCAAGGGACTGCTGCCACACGCATGATGTAATCTGCACAGATTCTATGCTTCAATCGGTTTCTGTGCCAATTGAAGACGGTAGAAAACCGTTGTAGGTGAGACCAACTACTAAAAAACAGAAACCCTCTTCTGACGTGGAGGGAACGGATCGTCCTTGATAAAGCAACCAAACAAAGGGACGTTGTTGTGACCACGTGGAATCATGTAACAGCGGAGGCGGTACGAAGAGGGTGAAAAAAATCAAGGATCATTTGGACCGGATCTGCTGAAAATTGTGTCCAAATAGCCGACTCCAAATGTTTAAGGAAATAAACCATCGACGTCGGAAGCGTCAAATGACTCCACAAAGAGCGCAACCGCAGGCCAGTATACATTGAATCACAACGCCCTTGCGCAATCCAGAACATCCGGATTGGCACCTAACTCATGTTGCGCCGTCTTCAAAACGAGAACCGGGGAGAAGACGGAAAAGCAACTTACAAGCTGCAATTGACAATGAGGTTCCATTTACCTTCGGAATCCCAGTTCGAAACGCCCTCAAACAAATCTCAAGGCAAGAACGTTTTCAGACATGTACCTGTCAACATTTTGCGTTATCATACCCCCACGCACCCGCCCCCGTTCCTCCAGCGTCGCCAGCGCGCGGTGCGTCTCGTTGGGCTGAGTCCCAAAGAAACGGCGCCACCCGAAGTAGCTCCGGGCCCAGTAGCGTTGACGGCTCGCGGCGGAACGGACGAATTCCTGCAAAAACGGAAACGGAATGAGACAGCGGAATCCGGGCAGATGGCTGGCATTCAACGAAAGAGTGAAAGAAACGGTGCCAGCCGAAGTACCTCCGGGCCCTGTAGCGTTGACGGCTCGCGGCGGAACGGACGAACTTCTGCAACAACGGAAACGGAATGAGGCAGCGGAATCCGGGCAGATTGCCGGCATTCGACGAAGGGGTCAAAGAAACGGTGCCAGCCGAAGTGACTCCGGGCCCTGTAGCGTTTGCGATTGGTGGCAGAGCGAACGAATTCCTGTGCGATAAGATACGAATGTGATCAGACGTATCGTCAAAAGAATGGGTTCCTGAGGAGAGAAATGAACGAAAAAGAGGGCAAAAATATGTCGCCAGCCGAAGCAGGGCCGAGCCATGGAATGCTGACGGCTAATTCCAGCGCGGGTGAAAGCCGGCAAAACGGAAACGGATTCAAGGAAGCGGGGTCTTCAGAACAGCGTTGGCATTTGAGAATCAAGTCAAAAGGTAACGGCGCCAGCCTGCGGCAGCCGAAGTAGTCGTGCCCAGTAGCGGTTGTCGGCTCGCAGCGGAACGGACGGAATCCTGCCCGACGGAAATGGACTTGTATAAGAGGCGTTTACCTGTCTCAAAATCGGCGGCATTCGCCAAGAGAATCCGCAGAGGACCAGTCAAAGTAAGACCAGGCCCAAAAGCGTTGTTGGCTGGCGGCAGAACAGACGAACGGGAAAGATATTGAGGAATTGTATTTGAGGTTTAAAATTGAGGCGACGATTGTTTGCAGAAGAGGGGATAACCAGAATAAGCTGCGTACGGCAGATCAGACAGAGTTTTGTACAATAGAAACGGAACGAGGAAGCGGAAAGACCTTTCGACATTTCAGAAGAGGGATCGACTCGAGTAAGGTCTAGCCTGATGGTGGGACCAAAAGGGACTCTCACAAAAAGATTGATAACAGACAGAAGTCAAGTCAAACTCGGGTTGAGAGTTTTGAGAGACAAAGCTGCGTCCGTTGAAGAGCTGAGAGGTCAGCGCAAACAGGACCAAGTATTCGTGCCTCAGCGCCATTCTGGCCAGGGGTGGATCGACATATCACGGCTGGAAGGAAGACGGAATCGTAGATACAACGTGACAGCTCGTTGAACCGGAATCAAGAAAAAATCGTAGATTCAATGTGTCTACTCGGTGAAGCGGAGTCAAGGGGGAGATCAACAGTAACGACGTAGCTTTCTTCCAAGCAGCGCTGACGGCTTGCGGCTGACCGTGTTCATTGCTCCGCTCCGTGTCCGGAAGTCCCGACAGAAGATGGCAACAAATTCTTGAGAAGAAGTCCACAAAGTCCAAACTTCAAGGGCAGCCCATGTGTATCCACATGTATTGCTCACAAATCCTTCACCGCTCGACGACATACTGTGGGCGCTGTGTGTTAACAGGTTCCGAAACCGATGAAAGCAGCTGCAATAAGTACTGGTTAAAGTAATCTGGCCGTGTGACCGAGTTTCGAGATTAGTGGTTGCAGAACTTGGCATTCGAAGCAGATTTTGCACCAGTTGCAGATCTCGAGGCACTTCATCTGATGGCACAATTTGAGTACACCGAGCCCAACTTTCCGATCGGCTCAAGTCGGATTTAGAGTCCGGCAGTCGAGTATGATCTGTTCCCAATGTTTTAAGCAGCTCTTATGAAAGGCAGAGCGAAAGCAGAAAATTGTATTCGACAGTGGCTGTAAGGGGACTGATAAGAAGACCCAATGATCAGAATAACCCACGGACGACTCAACGCCAGCATTCACAGTGTCCCCGCTTGCCCGCCTCTAAAATCGACTATTAACATCACCAGCGAAACAACGGAGATACGCAAACAAAAGAGTACATATTTGACCTCCTGACGAATTTGACACCAAGCACTTCTTTCAAGGCCTATGATCCTAGTGAATGCTCTCACCTGGTGCGTCATGGGCTTGAACCCCGTGCTATAAGCGCCCGTCGGGCTCCGATAATCCGGGATCCCGCTCTCAGTACTCACCCCCGCTCCCGTTACTATCAACAACTTTTCGCTCTCTACTATGAAATCATGCAACGCCTGGATCTCTTCGTCAGTTGGGGGGGGCGCAGAGGGGGTAAATGCCTGCTGGTTTTTCCCCCACAGAACGTCCTTCACTGCTGAAGGGTTGGCGGAAGACTGACTTGCAGCTTGATCAGTGTCTACTCGTTTCAGGGTTTGAAAGGCCAAACCATCGGTTCCGGCTAAACCCTCGGTTCCGGCACCGTGAGGAGTTCGGACTGAGACAGAGGCGTCATGCATTTCCAGCTCGGCATTTCCAGTAGCGTAGGATCTAGTGACTGAGGTCAGAAATGGTGTTGCTGAATTCTGAAAGGAAGTGTTTATGGAAGGGTTATACATGGGTGGTTGACAGGAATCGAGTGGAATGGGGGCCCTAATTGTGCTGCCATATGGAGGAAATGACGTAGGCGGTGTCGTTGATTGCAAATGTGACTGAAGCGAATACACATGATGTGTTCTGCTTCTTTGCAGGAGTTGGCAATCAATGAAACTGACGAAAGAGTGCCTTTTGGAGTGGTCAGCTGCAGAATGGAAGTGACGATGGCCTTCTGAGGGCGCAATGCTTGCTGACGCATGCGAGCACAACACCCCCTGCGGTGGCACCTGGGTTAAACATCCTGGGTTACTAGCTGGCCATGCAAACCCCCTGCTTAACATCCGGGTTACCTCCCTTTCCACAAACGGGTGCCGCTGCTGAATCAAGACTGCCTCAAGAGACACAGTCTTCGTTGGTCCCCAACGCTCTGAATACCTCTGAAATCCGCCCCCGCACAGCTGTCGGCTTACGGAGGCCAGGCGCGGGGACAGCATTCTTGCGATTTGCCCTGAGGTCTAGCTCTTCTCTTCCAAGCACGCCAAGAGCACTCCAGCACGTTGCTTGAGGCTTCACAAAGCGGGCCTGATTTCACTTCTTCTGAGCAGGCTGTGGGGGCCTCAAAATCGAGTCCACCAGCCTGGATATGCTTCACCAAAACCCTAATTCCAGAGTTCTCCGACAAAAACCGCGAATTACCCGGCCCGGTACCCTGCCTGACAGTGAAGGGGGCCAACCGGTCACACTACACTGAGCGACACCCAATTATCGGTTGGCTGGCATTAGCGCGCCTCCCGGCGCTCTCCCCCGAGCACCGAAACGATGACTGCCCAAAGAAGGTGACGTGGGAAGACGAGAGGCAGGAACTTTTAACCAATCAGCGAGCTCCACCTTCGCGCCATAAGCTTTCAAGAAGCAGCTCTCATGCAGTGCAGCTTGCAAAGTTTTGCAGGTTTGTACATGTTTTGCTGCAATCAGGATCAGACAGCGCGCTCTTGTGAAGAATTCCAGCGAAGTGATTGAGTTTCTAAAGTACTTGGTAATGCGCAATCTAATCTGCTCGTCAGACCGTGCGGTTCTGAGGCTTCTGGCCCACTTTTGTTAGCCACGTTGGCTTTTGGTGCACGAGGAAACGAATTGAAGTGAGTCTGCAGGGCTTTCTACGCTTACACATTCTGGTCAGGAAGGCGTGCATTTTGGGTAAGGTCAATCGGAGCAGAGAGAGTGGGCCCTTTCAATTGCATGCGCATATTAGATAACTTCGAAGTGGCACAACTTTAGATTAGCTGGTCATTATTAACTTTCATTGGAACTTCTTGCATTGCGAGTCTGTAAGGATCATGGCTCCCCGCCGCCAATCCAAGCGGGGCAAAGAGCATGCGGATCTTGCCGTTGACACGAGCACGACAACAAGAAGCAAGCGGATAAAAGCAGAGTCTGATCCCCTATCTGGGGATCAACCTACTGACCAAAAGGCAGGCAATGAACAGACGGTGGGCATTTCGCCACCTGGCGGTGCAGTGCGAACGACCAGGAGCTTGAGGGGTGTGAAGAGTCAGCTGCAAACGCCGGACAATTCCAAGGTGTCTGAAAGTGAGTCTGGGCCTGTGTCCAACTCTGAGCCTTTGTCCGAAATATCGAAGTCGAAAAGTGGGTCCAAGGTGCCTGAATCTGAGACTGTTTCTGAGGAGCCAGAGAATGAGCGGACGAAGAACGAGAATGGGGAGGAGTTGACAGAGTACGAGAGGGCGCGCAGAGAAACAATGGCGAAGAACGAGGCCATGCTGATGTCACTGGGAGTGACAGAGGCTGCGGAAGGGCTGGGGGCGTCAATCCAAGCCAAAAGGTCAAGGTAAGAAAAGCTGTCGTTCTTGAAACGTGATCTGATGCATATTCTGGCAGTGTAAATTATCAGCAAAGAGCTTCGGGTTAATGTGAAGGGAAAGCTACGGAGGATCCTGTGTGGGGGCATCAATGCAGGCTAGCAGGGCGAGTTTGAAGAGCTCAAGCCTCATTGAACTGGTGGGAAGAGATGAGCAAACGTTGAATCTTTTGTGCATTTTGGACCTATCCTTGCTGTGATGATGCTAGAAGAGAAAGTGAAGTTGTCTCCAAGAGTTGGGTGGGAAGAAAGAGGGCTTGGGGAGGGGCCGAAGTCTACGATAAGGGACAGCGGGCTTTCCCAGGCATTAACCAGCCGACAGATCATAGCAAGAAACACATTCACGCCTTCTCTGATGAATCATGAGATATGAGTGTTCGGCCAGAGACTGGAGCAAGTTCCCCGTCTTTCAACCTCAGAGATCTGGTTTGGAAGCTGGGGAGGATGATTTGAAATTTCTCGTTAACATTTTGAGAGGGCCTGTGATTTCTCAGATGGTTTGGACAGTGGGAGGTTTTGTCCATTTTCTCTTTCCTTGGCTTTTACAGCATGGGATGCCAAGTGTTGCACTTGAGCGTGGAATTGAGAACCATGACGCTTTCGCAAGAAATTTGTTTGTTGTGGCCTAGTGCACCACATACCACACGGATAGTAAAGTAGCGAGCGAATGGCCTGCTGCATTGCCCATAATGCACGCATGCGCTTTTTTCCAAAAGCTGCGCTGACTTGTCGACCGTGAGACCATAAACCACAACTGTCACTATCTTGGGTTGTTGAGGGACAATAGTATTGCAGGTTGTGCAAGCCGTCACTTGCAGGATTTGTGCAAGTAGATTATTTCGCCTGGAGAGAGCGGCTGCCAAGGGCCTTTCAACGGTATTGTCAAACTAAACACTGTTCAAAGCCCGCGTGGGGACCTGTTGAAGGCTTTAAGCCGCATTTTGATTCGTCTAAGTCGATGAATATATATTGGATGCAGGGCGGCCGCCAAAGGGTTGCAGACGGTGCGAGCAAAGAAAGAGAAGAAGGAACCGGTGGAAGTCCGGAGGTCGTCTAGAATCCAGGTTGGTTAAACTTTCATATCCTACGGTTCTTGGATAGTCCGGCTTCCAGATCAAGAAGTTCAGTGTTTTTAAGGATTTGATTAGGGGTTTCGGGGTTACTCTGACGAGAACTCGCAGACGAACTGTCCAGATCTGTGTAAAAGTGGACATCGAGGGTTTCGATGATCACTACTGTTTAGCTGCTTGAGTAGCTTGACTCGCTTTTCTGCTCGAATCCACAGTTTCCAGGACACCCTAAACCGATCCAAATTAGACCTGCAAGGGATCCGAACCCTTTGACGTGTGGGAATCGGAACTTGGTGACCTCTTCCATTTCATGCAGCACAATCCAAACCGATCAGAAGATCGGACTTGAAGTTTGCAAGAACCTCGACTTCGACAAATCCCAGTCTGCTCAATATTCCAGTCACTCCTCTCAAACCAGCTCCGCTTCAAGCAATCAAAACAAACGGACCATAAGAGATCCAAGTTCTTTGATGTATCGAATCGGCACCCGGTCAATTCTTTCCATTCCAGCACATCTGGACCGACCAAAAAGAGTCTGCTTTTTCAACGTTTCAAAATCGAAACCGGGTACTGTTTCAGTCCACCACATCCTAGACCATTGTTAAGCTCCAACGTTTCGAACTTGAATGCAATGCCGGTCACTTTTTCCATTCCAGCACATTGCGCCCGAGTCTCTCGGCATCGAGCGCGAGAACCGCGACGGCTCCGTCGTGCTTCACGGGCAGGAGGCCCCGTTCCGGCGGCCGGCGGCAGCGACGCCAGCCCCGTGGGAGGAGAAGCGGCGGATACAGGGCCCCATCAAATTCGAAAGCAGTAACACGGACGATCCGGCGTCGGACGCTGCGTTCTTGGACGTTTTGAAGCGGTTGAGGGACGACCAACCGCTGAGGAAGAGGTGGGTGTAGCATCTCGAGTAGTGAGGCCTTCTGCTGAAAATCATGAATCAAGGACCATCGACGTTTGACGCCAATGGGTGAAACGGTGGATCAGAATGACCGGCCCTTGAGAAAAGTGAGGGCGATCGGGGGTGCTGGGCAGAAATCTTCGAGCTGCGGCATGAGGGTTAGTGCTGACAACTAAGTCTTCGAAATCTCTGGGTTGTGGAACAGACCTCGTCCCGCGTTGCGGGGAGTAAAAGCGGTTGCTCTGCGAGGTTCATTGCGGTCGTACTCGTTGAATCAGATTTTCGACTGGTTCGATTGTGACTTCAGCAATAGAAGCAGCGGTTTTACTTTCGGAAAGATCCAACTTTTAAAAGCAGAGAAAAAAAAAGGTCCCGGATGGAGGTGATTGTGAACGATATGAATCTAGATCAGCAGCTTTCGCACAGTGATGACGACAGCAAAACTGATTTCACAAATACGGCTAAGCCACGGAGAACCCATCAACGGAATTGGCAGGCCAGTCCTTTGGTGATCTGTCGGCTACTTGAGGTGGTCATATTACCTTCGGGCTATTGATGACGCCAGGTCGTTCTGTTTTGGTTCACTGCCGGAAGCCTCGTCGGTAGGTCCGCAAAGCTGACGCTCCGCAAGAGCGATGTGTTGCAGCTAGTAACGCGCACAACCTGGTCAAGAATTGAGTGAGCGGAAATTACTGAAAAGGTGTTGATCTTACCTTTGGTGCAGAGCGGCGGAAGCCTCAGCTGTGGATTTGGCCAAGCTAACGCTGCGCGAGAGACACGTGGCCTGGGTAGTGACGTCAGACTTCTGCCGACAACCAAAGGGTTTTAAGCTCGTCGAAACTTCTTCTTTGTGCAGAGCGGCGGAGATTTTATCCGTGGATCCGACCAAGCTGACGCTGCGCGAGAGTGACGCGGCGTGCGTGTTGACGTCAAACTCTTGCCGGTTTTGGATAGAATTTAATGGTTATCTATCAATTTCTTCCTGTACAGAGCGGCGGAAGCCCCATCCGTGGATCCGACAAAGCTGACGCTGCGCGAGAGTGACGTGGCACGAGTGGTGAAAGATCGCATATTTGCTGTGGCCTTTTTTCCCACGACCGAGAAAGTGATCGTTGCGGCGGGGGATAAGAGCGGGGGGCTCGGGATCTGGGACGTTGACGCGAAAGACACGGTACGTTTCAGTAATCGAGAGTGGGTTACTTTGGGAAGAACTGCTTGTTTTTTGTAGTGGGTTGTCTGTGAGAAGATATGACATGTTTTGAGACTGGGTATTGGAGGGGATTTTGACGAAACTGGTTTTGGCGGCGGGGAAAAGAGCGTGAGTCGTCGGATATTGGGACGTGGAGGCAGGCATCCGGTTGCGTTAAGGTTGCAATTCTAACAGACTTTGGTGTTGGGTTGTCTGGGGTATGTTCTGGAAAAATATCCCCAATATACGGATTGGTTTCGGTGACGAGAGTGAATACATGTGGACTCTCTCGCTTGATACTTACTGCGCACTCTGCGATACCTGGTGGCTTCCGCTTTGTAATCCAGACCAGTAAACGCATGCATTACAATGCTCTCCATACCGCTGTAAAAACCCGTTCCGTTGTAAGAAGAGAGTCAAAGTTACCGTGTCCACCGCTCCTACACGATTTTTCTAAAGATCGTTTCTCTATTTCTGCAGTCAAGTGTTCTTGAGAAGCCATTCTCTCGTTGCTTTCATTTCCTACAGTAGATGCTCCTTCGAGTGGCCTCTAAAAGTCGAAAAAATTCCGCTCCCTGAGACGTAAACATACTTCCATACCCTACCCGACGGCCTTTTAACTTGGTTTGTGCCCTTTGTTGAGTTGGGGGCCAGTCTCTTTTCTCTTGGACATCATGACCCATCCGCTTTCTCCTCCCTGGAGGAGCCGGCTGTTGGATCGGTTTGCACTTAGTGAAGCCTATTTTTCAGGCCCTCAATTCTGCACCCGGCTCCTCTCGTTACCAACTTCTTGCTTTGTGTATGAACTCAAAGATCATGCACTTTCAAAGCCACAGGAGTCTGCCCAGAAGACGGCAAGCAGAGCCCCCAGTGGGAAAGCTTACCACACACGCCTAATGTGAAAGCATGTTGCAATGTTTACCGTCATTATACGATTGCACAGCAAGCCGTCTGCAAGTACAATCTGAGGTCTTCAATCTACGCAGTCGTTGACAACCTGGTCCCTCCCATTACAGAACGACGGCGTCCACGTGTTCAACGTGGGGCCAAAACCCATTTCGGCGCTCGCCGTGTCGAACCGCGACTGCACCAAGCTCTACTCGTGCAGCTTCGACGGCTCCCTCCGCGTTCTCGACGTCGAAAAGGGCGTTTTCGACGAGGCGTACGTAGACGAAGAGTCGGATTTCAGCGCGATGAGTCTCGGGCCAGTGGACGGCGGCCACGTGGCGTACGTAGGGGACGGACTGGGCGCGCTCACGGTCGTCGATCTGAGGGCATCGACGGCCCAGGTGACGTACCAGATGCACGGGCGGAAGATCAACACCATTGACGTGAGCTGCGGATTTAATCATCTTCCCTTTTCATTCTCAGGTCCTGCTCTCGCTTCCGTTTAGATCACGATTGAGTTTCCCGTCCTCGTCCCCATATAGGTTCCAAATTTCACCTTTACTTTGCAGCTTCCGGTTATGCATCCCGCGTTCCGATTTCCGCTTTCATCTGAGATCGAACGTAGCTCTCCTTTTTGATTAAAGTGGAGGACTGTCAGCAAGCTTCGTGGAGCTGTTGCGATGTTTGTCAGACGGGTTTGCTTAAGCTGCCGAGATCTTGGACACATTCCGTGAGCTCTATTATATGATTCCTAACCTCAAACAGTAAAGCCTGTTCCACCGCTCGCATGCGCACTTATGACGTAGCGGAGGGCGTCTGCGAACCGCGTTTGGGGCAAATCGAGACCCAGGTCATCACTAACCTGGAGCATAACTACTTGGGGCGCACCCGCAGTCACGCCCTCCTTTCGCGATGTATGGGCGTGGTTGCTTATTTTTGACTCGTCTGAAAACGGAGGGTGAAAACTGCCTCAGCAGATTGCATAACCTGTTTCTAACAGTCTTGATTGAGACCTTTTGGTAACCACGCTAGCTTTATGTTCGTCAAAGCCTACAAATATAAACCTTGTATTTGCAGTTTAACCCGCACCGCAGCCACATCTTCGTCACGGGCGGTACATTTGCGCACATTTGGACGTCCGAAAACTGCCTCAAGCATTGTGAATCAACCTGAATTCCACTCATTTTGATTGAAATATGTATCAAACCACTTTACTTCATGTTGGTCAAAGTAGATGACGATGGAACCTCGGGTTGCAGTTTAACCCACACCGCAGCCACATCTTCGTCACGGGCGGAACGGACGCGATGGCCCACATTTGGGACGTCCGAAAACTTCCCGAGAGCGGGACGAAGAAAGTGATCCACCCGTTGGCCAGTCTGCCGCACGTGAAGGCGGTCAACTCCATCTACTTCTCCCCGGACGGAGACAAACTCGCTTCGACCAGGTATGGAATACTAGGAATGGGATGGTTTTGAGATGGAATTTTGAGATGGAAGTTTCGAGAAACCGTGACGTCAGGAGTCTGTAGTTTCACCGTTGTAGTAATTACTTCGTCACAGTTTCACATTGAGCTTGGCAAACGAGGTTCGCTGCAAACCGGTGCAGAAAAACCCGCGACACTTTGTTCCGAAACTCGGAAAAAGGGCGCAGCGATCGAGCTTGGGTGCCCAAACTTGGATCATCGTCACTTGTCCGGAGTTTCTGCTTTGTGTGTGCCCTCGTTATCCGCTTGGTGCTCTCCACTTCCCAGTGTTTGTTTTAGCTAACGTTCTTGTCATCGCTTCTCGTTTCCAGCACTGAAATTAGAATCGTTTTCAAGTCATGCCTCTTATTAACCCCTGTTAGTCAAAACCCCTGTTTGCAGTTACGATAACTACATCCGCATCTACGACGGCATGCTCGACTCTCTCGAACATGTCGTCTCCAAAGTTACGCCGCCACAGCCGTTGTTGATCAGCCACTACAACAACACGGGCCGTTGGATCTCGTCCTTCCGGGCCGTGTGGACCTGGGATAACCGGCACGTGGCAGTTGGGAGCATGAACCGGGTAAGCTTGGTCAAACTAGAGACCCCCAATCTTGGTCACCTTTGACAGTCAATAGTAGCTGAACAGCGTGATTGTTGAGAGAGCAGTGCTTTTCTTTCTGGTTGAGAAAGAGCAATCGGACGTTTCGACGCTCGTTCGCCGCATGGCGCTCTTTTGTCGCGAACAGCAAAGAAAGGGCGTCTCTCTGACTTTTCCGTAAGGGTGGTGGCGGGAGGAGCTTCGTACAGTTCCCTGAAGGTAACCCCTCTTCTTTCAGGACCGCAGCCGGTGATCGGTGTAGCTTCTCGCGCATATCGTTCAGTTGTATCGGTGCGCATCAAGAGGAGTACAAGATTGCCGTATTTTATGGCTATACCTTTTCTCAAAGTGATTCTGACATTATATATATTGCAGGCAATCGACATCGTCAACGTCGAAAGCAAGCACTTGAAGAGGCTGGCTAGCGAGCAAATGCCCACAATCCCTGCCCGGAATGCGGTTCATCCGTTGATGCCAATCATAGCGGGGGGGGTCTCGGGGGGCAAGATACATATCTGGAGATGACAATATTTGCCGCTGTTAAAATACGAAAGAATTGTGCAGGTGTACGAAAGCGTAAATATTCTTGCGCACAACCTGCGAATTAATTACAGTACAAGCTTACTTGCGAGTTCTTATTAGCTTGAGGCGAGGGGGTTGCGGGCATTGGGTCCCTTCTCAGCTGTGACTTTATCCATACATTGTTTGATACATGTGCACGTCTGGATGACGTTTTCTCTCCAGTACTCAACTTTCGAGCAACTCTATTTGATTCCCGGGCGTTGTAGAAAAGGACTCGCTCGTCTCGATCAGTTTTTGATTTACAGCATGATTAACGTAATGAAAGCGGAGCATCTTGCCGCTAAAAGTTCAGTGCACACACAAGTTGCGAGCCCTACTCATGGATAGCCCGGCGGACTGCTCAGTCCCCCAACGTGGCAGTGAGTCAATGGTGCACTGCATCTGCTCGACTAATGAGCAGTGCCCTTTGCCCGACGAGCATCGAAGCATCTTAATCAATATGTAACTCGATCGCCGAGCATGTGCCGATAGTATAATGTGTGTCAAAGACAGTGCGGCCGTCCAGCATGCAAAGGTTCGATGAACTGCAAGCGCGGCATGTCGCCGCCAAGTGACAGTGAGGACTCAACCGTTGGAACTACCAATCAATCTTGGCCGGCCTTTGCACAGCTGGCCTGCGCGCCCTGCGGCATGCGTACTAACCGCCTGTATCTGACTCATTGCTAAGTTAACTTGCCAGGCAACTCGGAAGTCGGGCTCGCCTGTGAGATTGTGGCAAGCACGTGATCGGATGGTGGCCGCGCGGCCCGGTGGCGGGCTAGTGCGATATACGGTATATATCTTTTTTACACCGTGTATGAAAAGACATATAAAGGTTGCACGTACTCATGCACTTTTGCATAGCTGATGATGCATGCGATCATTCATTGCCAGGCTAGCTTACTTTGAGTGCCAAAAGATATATAAGCTAGATCGAGCTAGTGCATGAGTGACATACGTGATAAATAACTCGATCCATATATCTTCAAGACTTGCATGCGAAACGTCAATTAACTTACCCACCGCGACATGCCAGCTCAGCCTGCCTGCAGTGCTATATATATATCACAGTGACCCAGCAGCGGCCTGCAATTGCAAGCTGGCATTCTCAATGTGAATCTGAATGATGAGTCATTTGGTACGCGCATGCAGTGACGTGACTGGGGCCCATAAAACGAAGACATGCTGGACAACATATGGAACACTAAACTACTAGACCTTCAGGCTTAATTCAATGCATAATGCATGAAGCCGCCCAAACAACGAATCCTTATTAAACTGATTCGACAAATCACCAAGTCACTGTTGCCACTAACCACGTACATGTAGAAATCCGAAGCTGGTGCGTACGATCATTTTTCTCGCATGCAATGCATCATAATGACCACACCCGGCCAATATTGATACACCTCAACTACATGTCATGGAGCTCGTACGAACGATCAAGATCAAACTCGGTTTAGCGGATACTGGTGGATCCAGACTCTTGGCAGCGCTTTACGTAATGGACGGTTCTGTAAACTTTCTAGCATAAATACGACCACATACTAATGGTCGCACGTCGCTTATTTCTACATTGACTAGCTTGTGATGGAACCAGGATATACTGCAGAAGTAGCCTAGAGCCTGTCTGTCACCTCGTACACAGTCCTAGAACGAACCCTAAAAGCCACAAGGTTCTCGTACACAGTCCTAGAACGAACCATGAAAGCCACAAGGGCACCGTTCCCGGATACGGTTTGGAATCTGCAGTATGTCAGCGCTACTAGTAGTTACTTGGGCTGAGTTAGCCGTTATCTACTTGCGGCTGAAGTCAGGAGTGGGAGGCGGGACGACGTTCAGAGATCCTCCATTGGCCTTCTGCGCTTCAAGGGCCTTCTTGTTGGGCTCGAAGACGTACTTGACCAGGGACTCCTTGATCCCGAGGAGGCTGGGGAACTCCTTCTTCATCTTGGACATGTCCAACTCGTTGTTGCTCCGGGCAGCCACGATGACCTTGGCCTGCTCCTCGAGGGTGAAGTTCTGCGGCAGATGGAGAAGGGGCGTTTAGAGATTTGTTGTGGCAGTGGAATCGCCTGGCTGCAACATTTTGCGATTTCCAGATACGAAACCTATGCCTCAGGGACAATAACTGAGGCATTGGCTGAAAACGAAGTCTTACCCGGTTGTCTTACCCTTAGTGGTTTTGTCTTTCAATCAGACGCTCTGTTCACAACGCGAACCTCCATATAACTGATCAGCAACCACTCAACAGAGATCGGACGACTTTGCTTGAGACAACGTAAACGGGTGGCTCTTCAGAGGCGCAAGAACGTCTTGAACCCAATTGAGCACTTTGTGCGCGTACCTTCCAGGAGAAGTCGGGCTTGATGAACTCCTTGTAGAGCTGGAGCACCTCGTTGTGGCTGATGACGCCAGGGTTGGTGAAATTCCAGATGCCAGTCAGGCCACGCTTGGCCATCTCGATGGAGAGCGGGAGGAGCTCGTCCAGGACAGTCATGCTGGATGGCGCAGAGGATTCGAGGATGTTAGCAGTGATCATCAAGACACGGAATCAGAATGGAACCAGAACAGCAGGAGAACGGAACCAGAGTCCATTGAGGGTGAGCGATAAAATCCACAATGCTCCAATGCAGATGCAGAGTTCAGGATACAAAGAATAAAAGCCACGTGCAAATAATGACGCCAAAAGATACAGAATGTCGAAGCAGGCACAGCGACGCCAAATCAAAACCAACTGACAGCAGATGGACAGTCTGTGCATAGCACTCAAAAGCTCCACCAGTGGCAGGTAGCCCGCCCTCCGGCAGAGAAGTAAAATCCGGACAAGTGCCGAGCTTCAAGGGCCTAGCACGACTCCATTCCCACATAATCAGCAGCATTGGCTTACCTGTTGGGGATGTTGACGACCTTCTCGTAGCGCGCGATCTTGGTGATGAAGTTGCGGGGGTTGGCGAGGTCGATGCTGATGGGCATCCGGACGCGCAGCGTGCACACGTTGTCGTACTCACGCAGGAGCTCCTCCACCATGGCCTTGGTGTTGGAGTAGAAGCTGCCCCGGAAGTTGGCGAAATCCTCCTCCTTGAAGCCGATGCCGCTGCCTGCAAGGGTAAGCAGCGGAGACCGGTAAGACATTGCTCCACAGCTGATCCTTTCATGTAACGCAGCGATCCCTTTCCTGCAATCGGTTGCAAACGTCAATTGTATGCAAGAGGATGCGAACCTGCGCAAGAAGTGACACGGATCCTGCGCTTGCTTAGATGCGAAGTACAGGTCGTGCTTTCATCCATGTAGACAAAGACAAGAGTACTTCGAGCTCGACATTGACACAGAGGATGTAGTGAGGCGTTCAGCATTTGAACTCTTCCGAATATTCAACGATGCATCTCCTCTTTGATCAACCAACCAGTCTGTCCGACTAAAGGTGACCCGAGCAGTGCACAAGGAGGACGGATTGTCAGTTTCCAACAACCAGCAACGAGACTGCCACACTTGCTCTACATCGTCCAAAACAGGACAGTGACATCACAGCTTGTCATCATTCCAACCACTTTCAAATGCTGCAGGTCTCTGAGAAGCTTAGCCGCCTCACCCTCGGGATGCTTGTCGTCGTACTCGAAGATGCACCCGGTGGCATAATTCACCAGGTTGAGGTTGTGCTCTCGCGTGACATCGGCGAGCGTCAGCACCCCAACGACGTTGGCCCTGATGGTCTCGGGTCTGTGCGTCTCGCACCAGTCGACGTTTGGCCGGCCAGTGACCCCAGCGGCGTTGAAAACGTGCGTCGGCTTCACGCGCTCAATGTCCTCCTCGACTCCCCTCCGGTCCTCCAGTCTGTTGGCGCCATACTCGTAGTCGATCCCCAACTCTGCGCACATCTTGCCGAGGAGGCCACCAATCCAGCCGGTCCTGGGAGAGGAACGGTTTCCAAGTCAACATGCGGTTACCAATAAAATAGCCTCACAGCAGCTCTCTGATACAGCCTGCCTGCCCGAGTAGTCCTTCGATTTGAACTAACCATACTTCCGTAAGAAACTTCTCCCGAGTCAAAGCCATTGATATCTGACCTCAACACAAGCTTATTAGCCACGCGCTTTCAAGCCCAACCAATATCTTCCACGAGTGATCAAAGACACCTCAGCCAGACCCTGTCTTCCTCTCCATCGCCACAGCCAAGTGAGACTTCTTCCAATCATGCAGATTATCCAAAACTAACACCATCATTGAACCACCCTTGATCTAGGTAGATTAACGGAACCACCCGCATCTGCCAAGCCCCCACAACGCTCACCTGCCGTAGATCAGGAACTTGAGGTGCTTGTTGCTGTCCTTGGCGCTGATGGGCGTGATGGAAGGGTGCACCATTTTGGGAGTCGTGGTCGGGGGCGGGCTGCTGGCACCGGCCGCCTTCTCCTCCTCCTCGACTCCAACGGCCAGCTTGAGGTCCTTGCTGGAGGCGCTTCCGACGCCTGCGCCAAGGCGAGGGTGGGCAACGAGCGCCCCAGAGACATCACCCCACCAGTCCTTGTTGTCGCGGTACCACTCCATGGTCTTCTGGAGGCCATCCTTCCACGAGGTGCGCTCCTGCAGGGTAAAAACTACAGAAGATGTGACCTCTGCTTAGGTGACTCGTCGATTCAGGAAAGGTCTGCACCTGGATTTGTCGCTCCTCTATTCCATGATTGGATGCGTGTCACACATTCAGCTGAGTTTGACGTTATTCAAATGATGACAAGCAGAAAACAAGCGAACCAAATATATGCGTGCAACTGAGCAGGGACCCTTGCAAACTCTCGCAAATAGACACAACAAACAAACTTTGGGTCCCCCTGGGCCCCCTCTGGTCAAATTCTGGGTCAATTCAATAATTAGCATGAGCGCATAGCACAAAGGCTGAGATGGCAGACACGAAAACTCGTCTTCAAAATCGATGCTTGGGAAGAGTACATGTCAAATCATTTGCATTCCAGGATCTCGCATTCCAGAATCATCACGCATTCCTGAATGCATATTTGGCTCATGCGCCCCTCTTGTCTACACTTACAGAAGAAGAGTCACTCTTAATGCTGCGCTCCTTCTGCCCTTGTCTTTGAGAAAGAGAATAAGTACAAATCAATCTTATCCATAGGCGCAGTTTGGGCAACAAGCCAAGTACAAACCACAGTTAGCCATAAGTGCAGCTTTGGCAACTAGCCACTACACATTGACTCAGCCATGACAGTATTCAGACAGGAAACTATATCCTCCCAGCTATGACGCATCACGCAACCACAGACCTGTGGTACTCTCATGGGAAGTGTCTGTTTCAGGACCGGAAAGTGAACATGTCTTTGAAACACCAGGTCTCAGGCAGAACAGACAGGCACAGAGGACCTCACCTCCCAGCCTAGCTGCTTCAACTTCTTGTCGTCCAGGAAGTACCGCTGATCATTGAAAGGCCGGTTCTCCACGAAGTGAACCACCTTCTCCGAATCCACGCCCACCAAATTGCAGATGTCTGGACAGCGGAAAATGAGAGGATTTAGTGCAAGATTCTAGAATCAGCACCAAAGATGTAGAACTAAGACCAGATCCTATGTGGAGCTATCACAGAAGGAAAGCATCAGTAAGGTGTTGACGGAGCTGTCAAATCAATCACAGGGAGCAGGAAAAAACGGCAGATACCTTTGACGGTAAAGGGCGCAGCAGGGAGAGTGTCCTCTTAGCAAGTTGAATCCAATCAGAGCATAAACCGATAACTTGTCATCTAGCTTACCTCCAGCGACATCCTTCACCCGGCGCTCCTTCTGTGTACCGATGTTGTACACATGGCCAATCTCACCCTTGTGGAGGATGCACTCAAAAGCCTCTGCAACCAGGAAACATAAGCTTACATACCACCCTTTCAGAGCAGACAGACACATGTGAAGCTCAGCGAATGCAGCCAACCTGATCTAGAATGCATCAAAGAAAAACACTGCGTTAACCTTTGATCAGTTGATGGGACTCCGGCGAATTTCATAGTTTCTGCTGGAATTCCTGTTGTGCACCACCTTCTGGTCAGGGGAATTTGAAATCAAACAGCGTTGCTAAATTCAATCTTCAGAAAGTAGGCAGCTTCAGACGACCATCAAGTATGATGTGACAAGGGGTTAAGAGATTCATACCAGCAACATCCTCGCAATACAGGTAGCTGCGCACGTTGCAGCCATCTCCGTGGATTGGCAGCGGCTTGCCAGCCATGGCCAGGAGGAGGAACTTGGGAATGAGCTTCTCAGGGAACTGATTGGGACCTGCAGCAAATGGCTTGTATTGGTCAAAGTCTCATCTTCCGAAAACGAGGCAAGTTCAACAATAAAAGAGTTTAGCCAGATCCTAAAGTACGTTAGAATCATCGACTAGAGTTGCAGAGCAAGAATGACCTTCTCCTAATGCTTGCAGAAAGTTAGGGTTCTCCTCACCATACACGTTGTTACCCCGGGTGGTGATGAAGGGAAGTTTGTAGCTATGGCCATAAGCCATGACAAGCATCTCAGCGCCGGCCTTAGTAGCAGAATAGGGGTTGGTTGGAAGGAGCTGAGAAGCTTCGTGGTTGCCAACCTGAGCATCTGCTTCAGTCTCGCCTGCAAGGACAGCCAGACTCGTCAGAATGAAAACTGTTTTCTGCGACTAAGCCTCTGCTCTCAAGTTGATCACTTTAGGTTTGTGCACCACTCTTCATCCGCAAAGGCACTTATGATGCTGCACATGAGATCCATGGTTGACACATCTAAAGCTTCAGCTGTCACCAACAGAATTTGCAGAGGAAACTGGAAGTTTCTTCTGAAAGAGGAGAGGCTCACCATAAACCTCATCCGTGCTCACGTGGATGAACCGTTTGATGGTTCCAAGCTGCTTGCAAGACTCGAGAAGAACCTGCACGAATTGGATTGGAATGAGGCGCAATATTCATGATTTGACTTGGAAAAAATAAGAACTGCTTAACCATTCTACAATCCAAGCTGGGTTGCGGATGCACCACTGATATAACCAGAGGCAATTGATCAGCTAAGCAGGAGCACATTGAGATCTCGCCGATTGAGGACAAAATTGCCAGACTCACATGAGTGCCGTAGATGTTGTTCTGCGTGAAGGTGAAGGAGTTTCCAAAGGAGTTGTCGACGTGCGTCTGTGCAGCAAAATGCATGATGGTATCCACGTTCTCTGACATGAGAACATAGTTGACCAGATCGGCGCTGCCGATGTCTCCCTTGATAAACTTGAAGTTTGGCTTTCCTCGAGAGGGATTTAGATTCTTGATGTCAGAGCAGTAGTCCAACTTGTCTAGGACAATGATCTTGTAGTCCGGGTACCTGCAGGGGAAGAATTCCTTTCAGCAACCAGAAGCCAAGGCGTGAAAGTCAGAGACAGATTCTCACAGATCCAGTGCTTGATGTCTTTCTCATACCACTGATTATTTCAGCAGAAGCAGATCTAAAGAGGCATGTACTCTGCACGGCAATTTACTCTGCAAATTGCTGCAGTGCAGGTCTAGCACTTAAAATTGAAGGAGGCACTTCTGAGACCGAAATTGCTTTAGCAACTTACTTGCGGACCAGCCTGTTTGCAACATGGGAAGCGATGAACCCCGCTGCCCCAGTGATCAACACGGTTTTTGGCACGTACTGCGACGACATGATTGCCGCTTCAAGAGAGAGCGCTTCCTGCTTTTCGATTCAGATGCAAAGCAGGCCAGACGCGTGAAGAGGAAAAACTGGATCCGCACTAAGGAGATGCAAGAGCTCTTTATGCGTGCAAAGAAATGGCGGTCTCCAGATGCCCTTGTGAGAGGCAACCGTGCAACGAGCCAGCTGGAGGAGAGACGCACCGCGCGTCCTAGCTTGTCCCTTCAAAGTTCAGAAGTGACTTTGAAAGTCTTCCGCCGAGCTGCGAGCTGTTACAGTTGCAACAGCGTCGGGTCACAAATCAGCACGATTCGAGCTGTTGTGGTTTGCGCGCTTCCCGAGCGCTCGAAAACACGTTCGCTTGCACCTACCGACCACAGATTTCATATAGTGTCAAGCGTCAAACGGGAACGCCAAACATCATTAAATTAACACTTCAAACCTGAATTTTGATCCGAGGAATTGCCCGGGAGAATCTAAAAAAGTGCAACGGTTATCTGGTGATGAGGGAAAGTCATGATGGTAGGCTGGGGGACGAAACGTTGGCCGTCGAAAGCGGCCGCTGCATCAATCGGACGGCTGTTGCAGCTCAAAGCAACCGTTTGATGAGATCATGAAGTTTTTGAGCTCTGTTTGACGTATGGGCCTAAAACCGCGGCGTGATATGTGTACGGTCCTTCGAGCATCTGCCACCTGGCAACTTTTGAGCTGATCGAAGCTTTCATGCAAAGTTGAGCTGAAGCTTACCTAAATATCACAGGGGATGCAACGGGACTCAGCCTGGCTACTATAGCGGAACATCACGATCACAACGGTATTTCCACGTTCAACGTTATACACGGGCGTGTAGCTAGCCTAGAGATGTAGAAATCCATTCGCAGCGGGCTCATGTGCAAGCATGAGATCATTGCAAATTATTTTGAAATCTGAATCTCAAACATGTTTGCAGATCATGAGTCTGGCCTCAATGGCCATTAGCGTGCGAGATCTACCATTCCTTTGCATTGTTGTGACTTGTATGTACGTATACATGTGACCGATCTAACGACCGTCACGTACTCAGTGGCATGGAATAGAGCTGCCAACCGCTCAGCGACCGCCTAGTGATGCCTAGTGCGTAAGCATCTTAGCCTTAAAAGGTTACTAACTTAGTTTATGGGATACATGCACGGCGCATGTTGCGCAATGTGCACCGCGATTGAATGATGATCTTAGCAGGGCGCTCGACAATCGAAGCTCCTCCAAATGCGCCAAACTTGAAGCGATCATCTAATCAACATTGGGATCCTGTTGAGTTTGAAAGCTGGTAGGTACGCAATTGGACACTTGCGCGCAGCTAGGGGAGCACAAATGGCCCATTACATCCCAACTGATGCGGGACCGTACAGATCACTGCCGCACCAAGCATGCCAAGCATCATGACAAGCGGTTGTCATACCTAGGTGTTGATGATCGAGCATCAAGAGTAGCTGATGATGAATTAAACCTCTTCGCTACCGAAAGGCTGGATAAAACGGAAGACCAAGATGGGACAACACTCTAGCTGGGGCTCTTGATTGTCTCGATGACTTGGATTGCTTGTTTGATAAGTGCTACGTTGTGGACCCTTACAATGTTCGCCCCTCGTTCCATTGCGACGGCCTGCAAAGTTGAACCAAACATAAGAATCCGAACGCCACAAGCAATAACACGTTCTTGAAAAGCAGTAACATGACATGCGAGATTCACATAACAAACGACTTTTCCTTGGAAACAAATCTTCCTCCCAAACTTTTTGGCCGGCTCTCCAAACTCACAAGTACTTCTCAAACAACCGAAGCCCCTCCAATACCGAGCTACTCAGATTAACCCTTTCTTATGCGCAACACAGTGCGCGGTTCGATGTAGCCTTGAAACTAATGGGAGAATCAGCATGAACAAGGGGCTCTCCTGAGCCCCACAGTATGTTGGTGAATAGAAGTACGTGTGACTCCGCAATGTTGATTCCGCTCTGCCGGGCGTCCAAGACTTTGAGAGCAGACTCCGCCGGCTCAATGAAGGCTTCGGGAAGATGCACGGACATCCATCGTCTGGTGAAGGACTAGACAACCCTGACGCTTTGGTTCAAAGCGGCTTTCTTGAAAATCTTCCAGTTCCTCTTTTTTTTTTAATTCCGTCCTTTCGCAACATGGCGTTCCGCTTCATGACGTGGCAAAAAGAGTACACCTCACCACCGCTGCGGCCGTGGCAACGTCTCGCTCCTCGGGCGTCTTCACACGAGTGATGTCACCAAGGAACTTCTGCGGTGAGAACGGGCTCCAGAGCGTCAGAGGTTTGGAATACAAGCGATTCCAGGACGGTGAAACGCCCCCTTCCTCTTCAAGGGAAACGATCCTCGTCGAGCCACAAAAAGCTATTTGTCAGGCGTGACCGGCAGATCTCTGCTTAATTCTGCAACATCGTAATCCATCCGCTCTCCCGGAATCAGCAAAACTGCAGCTGTGCCAGGAGAACGAACGGCTCTTCTGAGGGCCCGCCCTTGTGATGTGACGTCATCACAGGCCGGGATGCGGAGACAGGTTTGCAGCTTTGCTGGGTCTAACGTCTGAGGAAGTAAAGCTGAAGATGCCACATCGGAGCTCATCCAATGTGTCAAATCAAGGTTGCTTCTTCACGCTTCCAGACTTCACCCTTAAGAGTTGGCGCCGGCACTTATCAGGGACGCCAGGGACTTTCTGTCACATCGATTTCTTCCCAGCCTCCAAATCACCAACATCTACCTCAATGCCAACGGTCAACCTTAATTTCGATGACGTCACCATTGAGACCCTTGGACAAAACAGGTCAACGTCCTTTGAAATGCGCTAGTCAACGTTTCTCAGGAAGTCTTGTTCTGAGTCTATTGCAAAGCCCGTGCGTTTCTTTTTGAAACGGCTGTAGAATCATAACTGGCGCCCGATGCAAACACTAGGCCAATCTGACATACGCGAACCGTACTCAATAATGCCACCAGTCAACAAGGTGTAGGCTGACCGTACCTGGTGAGTTCAGCAACCACTTCCGACGAAAGCTGCTCCGGAAACCTTTCAAGAGCAATTTTGAAATAACAAGAGTGGAAAGAAACGTTTGATTCTGCCCGCAGCCCAGTGTTTCCTCACCTTTCGAGAGGGCCCGATCAGAATGGGCAAGTCCGCAAGGCCGTAAACCCCGCTTTCCGCCAGCTCGCGCCGCAGCTTCGGAATGTCTGCGAAATAGCCGGTCATGTCAGATCATTCGGGTTCCACACAGTTGGGCCAACAATGTCGAAATCTGGACTTAGATTGGTTTATGGTTCGCACGTACATGCGGAAAGCTAGTGTACCGCTCACGTGGCGAGCCAGAGTAACGAGCATCAGTAGCAGCTTACGATGTCGGCGTTTTGTAACTGCGCTCGCGGCCTTGGATAGACCACGCTTCCTGTTCATAGGGTTGACCGAGCTTACTGTTCCTAAGGTTGATTTGTCTTTCACAGCTTTCGACGGGCAAGACGGCGATGAAGACGGCGATGCCATCCTATCCATCGTCCAACCAGATCGGTGCTTTCAACCAGGTGACCGGCGAGCTTTGCTCCTGCAATGGCTGACCGTTGATTGATACCGACCAGATCGGAACACAGATTGGGTGTCGACCACAACCTTCACGTGGAAATCCAAGGAATGTGATTTATTGAAGGATCGGCCAGGCCTTCTGCGACTTGGTGAGTATACTTTCTCCTTTTAAATGGATCCACGGATCATCGAGCCGTCTGTCGGCCGCTGATGCTTCCATAGAAGCCAAAAAGACAAATCATCACGACAGAATTCCAAAATTGGAGGAGGCGACAGCTCCTCAACGTCGATACCGGCCGTACCTCGTATTAGTTGGCAGTTGGTCGCCCCCTTCTTGGAGAAGCCAACGCCGGGATCAAGAATCAGGTTCCAGGCCGGGACGCCCGCCTCCATGGCGGCTCGTATCCGAGGCATCAATTCTCTAGCAACGTCCGCCGTGACGTCTGAATACGTGGTATTCGACTTGCTCTGCAATAGGGAGTCCCGCTGTATTAGCGAAGGAAGTGAAAGCAGAACACTTGAGTTTCTCCGGACGAGGAACCAAACCCTGTGCTGAATTGCGTGCCTGTTCGGATGGTATTCTTATTTTTGAGGGCAACAAGTCCTGTTGCACAGATATGGGAAGCACCAAACAACTATTCGTCAAAGGTCCTCGCCTGCATGTGCATGGAACGCCCATTGAGCCTGCGCCAATCGTAGAAACACCACACAGATGCAGGCGCAAAAAGCAACTTCATCAAACAAAACCCTCCTGCAAAGCGCTTGCCTGCATATTGGTCGGATCTCCCCGCATATGCATCAGGACGTACGGCACCCGGAGGTCGGCGACTGTCGAGTACATGTCCGGGTCTAGAGCGCCGCCCGAAACGTCGTTCACCATGTGCGCGCCGGCCTCAACTGTGGCCCTCGCTACCTGCATTTGTAGAAGGCGTCACTCTTTAGATTTTGAAGCGTCGTGAAATGTGGCTCAGTTTAGCAAAGGAAGGGGCCAAAGGGTTCCGTGGCTTACAAGAAAAGGAGCTTGTCTTTTCAATTTATAGAACTTCCATCGCAAAACACGTCAAAACAAGATTCGAACCATGCCGAATAAAATCAAAGGTATGATAGTCAAAGATTGCCTACTCAGGTTTTAGAGTCAATCTAGACAGCCCTGATACAGCACGACGCTTTGAATCAATACGCAGATGCTGATTATAGTGCTGTGTGGCGAATCGCAATGGATCTGGAAACGCGCAGTGAATCTAGACAGAGGCAGAATGCTTGCAACACGTCTTTTACGACCAACTGTTCCTCGCAGTCTCTTCTTATATGCCTTCCTATCTCTTATCCGCCGACTGAAATCTTGAAGCAAGCTCCTCAGGCCGGCTTGTTGCTGACCGGAAACCAGAGGTCTACTATGCAACGAAGCGTGTTAAGAAAACGGCGACAGCCTCAGCGGCCAGCATGCTTACTTTCGAGTCGAACGTGTCGATGGATAGGCATGCGCCGTGTAGCCTTTCCGGGTCCGCTGCCAGCCGCTGGATCACCGGAACGACCCTTGCCAGCTCTTCCTGTGGAGAAGACACTACAATATTTTGAGACGAAGTCCAGATCAAAAATAGTTGCTCTCGGTTTCTCGCTTGCTTTTTTTGTTCGTTTACTTCTTTTCAAGCAACCTAAGGTATACTACGGACTCTCCTTGCCTAAGAAGCGCAGAGCACTCAAAACCCGCGAAGATTAAAATCCAGTGTCTTGATGTGCTTCTCTTGTACATGATTCTTCTTTCTGCGCCGGAGTGCAGAATCGCATCTCTGGAACGCATCATGCTTTCAAAAGCGTGACCTCACCTCCGTGGTCAGCCGAGTAGCCCCAGGTCGCGTGGACTGCCCCCCGACGTCGATGATGTCAGCGCCCTCCTCGGCCATCTTCCGTGCGCGAGAGACCGCCGCTTCCGTGTCGTCATACCTGCCCCCATCGCTGAAGCTGCACTGCCAGAATGACGTCAAGTTTGGCATCGAACGATGCTTGTGACGTAAGCCAGAAAGTTTATCTGAACGATAGTCTTGGAGTCTGGCCCGAATGAAAGTGCGTCTGTCAGGTGGAAATTGAAAAAGTCTGAGTTGGATCGATGCACTCTAATCGAGATCCTGACACATCTTTCTATCGTTTTCTGGGGAGGCTTGACCCAAAAAAGCCGGTCTGAAGGGATCTCGCGGCAAAATCGGTCGCATTCTGTACGTCTTAGAGTTTCTTGCCTTTTCAGCCGTGACACAGCGGCAGACAAGTCGAAGACCAGCTAGTCTAGGTCACGCTCGAAACTCCTTTCAACACCAGACTACGAACCTTTCAAGGTGAAGAGACTGCACCTGGATAATAAATTGTTCACTGGAAAATTTTACGTGCTCTGCATCTGTTCTCGATGTCCAGCCCTATGCCGACAATTGGAAGGTTCCTACAAATCTCAACAACTACGATTCCAACAAGGCTTTGCCTCTGTAACATCAACTTCGGCTTAAGTAGGAGCTAATAGTAAGGCAGGTAACTGCAGCACCGACTCAAAAGTCAACAAAAATAGCCCTTGCTCTCCTCACCAAGGAGTAACCTGTTGAACTGCTCCAAAACGTTCCCCGTAATGCCCAGGCCTGCTTACCTGTCGGGCGTTACGTTGAGGATGCCCATGATTAGCACTCGCTTGGCAGGATTCCTCAGCTCTCCGTTTAACGGCACCACCCGTTCCAGACCCGGGGGGATCCCCTCAAAAAGCCGGGGTGGTGTTCCCTTCTCCGCGTATGGATTCGTTCCCCCTTCTGCGACCATCTTCCGAACCTTGTCTGAAACGCCGTGTCGGTCTGAGTCCTTACTGAGCACGTCAAGGAGAGGTTGGAGCACGAAACCGCGCTCCGATATCCTGCAATCGAAAGCCGAAGATACTGAAGAAAACTTCCCCCGTATGCAGCTTAGGACTTCACCCGTATGCAGCTTTCAGTAGTGCGCTCTGCCGGACCTCCGCTAATCAATACAACGTCGAATAGGTTCCTTCATTCTGGTGTTTTGAGATGTCCCATTCAGCTTGTTCATAAAAGCGGTACGGAAAAATGATCTGCCCCTGCCATGAACGCTGAAGAGCAGATTGCTCCTTTTGCTGGAGGGCATGCCTCAGTAGCCTAAATCTAACTTCCCAAGACTTGAATCCTTGGTGCTTCCAAAGCGTTCTTCTCGCCCAATTCTGACCGTTAATTCTTAGACAAAAGCAAGCCTGCATATAGAAGTCGCGTTCTATTCATTTTAGGATGTGTTGATCAGGGATCCGATTCACAGCTGTTGCTTCTAAAGCAGGCTCTATGGTCTCTGGTCTATGGTCGATGGTCCACAGAGTCGGAAAAAGTTGGGAAGGTTTCAAAATCAGAAGCGAGATTCCTCACCTCGGATGCGGAATTTCGAGCACCTCCGTCTTCATCACCACTTCGTTCGCCCCTCGTCCATAGTAGAGAATATCAAGATCTAATGGTCGAGGCCCAAAGCGCTGGCCCCCAAAGTCCCTTCCCAACTCCGCTTCAACCCGCTGCACAAGAGCACAAGGGGAAACAAGTAAGTGGTTGACACCTGTAGGCACGAGCCACTGGGAGACATCGACTTTACTTTCGTCGTGGGGGGCATAAAAGTGGTGTGCAATTGAGCGCTTCAAACGCGAGACGCAGGACTGGCCGCTGTTATCCTTCAGCAGAGATCCTTGATTGCTGACACGTGTTGGGCCCTCTACTCCAAGGCGCTTGGAAAATCTATGTACGAGATGGCCTCCGTAACAGATTTCTTCTGCAGGCAGATACGATTATTCGACCAGCAAGTATGACCGTTCACTGATCTGCGAAGGCCCTCACCTTCAAGGTTTTCAGTAACTCCAGAGGGGCCAGTCCCGTCCGCACCTCAACGACCCCATTCAAAAACGCTGGCTGGTCGGTTACGTAAGCTGGGGCGCTCTGCAGGAAAGCACCGTTGAGAAGTATCGTTGAGAAACGAAAAAGATCGTTGTTCCATGGAAGACACATCTTTGTTGTTATGAAATTAAAGCAAAAGTGCGGCAGGTCTGTTGAACTTTGTATTGCCCCACAAGGGACGGTGGAATGTCCCGCACTTTTCTTATCAGTGGTGGATTCTGGTAAGACACAGATATCCTGGTTTTGGATCTAGAGTTTTGGAGCAAGGATTGGGGATAGACAAGAGACAGGGAAGCAATTGACCTCCCTACAATCCTTTTCTTAATCGTCACCAGCAAGACCACAGGAGCTCGCAACATATATTGAAAAGGGCAGAGTATCTCACTTCGTAGAGGTTGGATGTCCAGACTGTTTTGATCCCAGCGGCCCGCATCAGCTGGAGACCGTTGTGCAGATTGCCCAAACGGTCACCTATCTGTAAGAAACAGATTAACAAAAAACTGTTAACCAACCGGGTCAAGTACAGAATCAGCCACAGGGTTCGGGGCACAGGAGATCGAAGAACCCGTTGCTTCACTCTCGTTGCACCGATTGCTCGGCTTACCATCAAAGGGTCAATGTCAGCTCAGGCTGCCCTCATGTTCAAGGTGTGAACTGACAAGAAGCAAGTTTAACCTCAGATGGTTATGACGTTCCTTCTTAACAAGTAATCTACCCAATCGAGGACTCACCAGTCTTGATACAAGGGTGGTGCAACTGATTCAAATTGTGCCCTGACTCTGAATTGCGAGCTCTAACAGACCCACGGCAACTGATGCCAAGTATGAACAACAGTCCAGATTGTGACCAGCCTGAACTTCCTAAATGTCTTGGTATGGTAGGATTCACGCAGAGCTGTGAAGATCATGAGAAGCGCCACCGAACTCAATTGCTCTAATGTCCTCCTTTAAGCAGACGTGCCACATAAAGGCCATCAGATTATAACGCCAGGCTAATACTATTACAAGGCTCATTCATCAAGCGCAGCATTGCAAAAGTGAATAGCCCCAAGGTTGAGACCTTGCAAAGAAAAAGTGCTCACATTGCCACCGATGGCTATGCTCACAGGCACCTCTCCAAAGTCCTTCCCTTCCCTTTCAGATGCTGCGCTGCTCATTGTTCTGAACAGCCTTTCCCTGACGGATCTACTTCCTTGCCCTTTGAAGACGGCGGAACATTTTCGAGTCTCAACTCCAACATCTACTTCTTCGTTTGAAGTTGCACCACTTTCTGATGGCCAAGTCGCAAACTCCGCAACTCTTCCAGTTGCTTGCCCAGTAAAAGAGCCAATTCTACACGATTGGAAGCTCGTGTGCAGAGAACAGCTCCCAAGGGGTAGAGCTTGCAAAAGATGCTCTACCTGTAGGGATGCAGACAATTGTGGCGGCTTCTCCGCTTTGCTGAAGAAAAGCCTGGCAATAGCGAAGCGGGCGTGGGCAAGCGCCCTGCCATGCAAGCTGCGCATCGTGGCTTGCCAGCTCGTTTCTTCTTTCGCAGGCCAGCCTCATCATGCACAATGCACGCACGGGTCGTCGCCCCTAGTTGTACAAACGATGGACCGATTGGTAGAGGCTTTGTAACCGTCAATTGTCACGACTCTGACCAGGATCCGATCGTACCGTAGATGAAGCTAGATTGTAAGATGTAATTCGCCACAACAAGCCCATCGAACCGTCGCTTGAACTCATCGAACGGCTCACAATATATAGGGAAAGGGGACACTGCTGGAACGCTTAAGCCGGCTCTAGTTCGAAACCCTAAAATGTCGTTCTGTGCGTGCCTGTGTGAGCTCAGCTCGCTGATCGAGCTCCTCAGGAAGCTCTTTTTGGAGTAGCTCACAGAACGGTTAAAGTTCACGTTTTTTAGGTAGGACAGCGCACTGATCAGGATCCGTGCATCTCTTCTCAGGACAGCGGCTCTGGCAGGCTGCCTTAATTCCATCTGCGGCACTCCTCTGATACAATTGCATATGTATGTAACTCACCACATTCTATGACACACTACCAGTAGTGTACTACAATTCACCACAACTCATTACATCATTCCCTGATCACATGTTAGTCATGCCACAGAGCTCAAGCCTCAGAGAGCTCGAATCAGCTGGTGATTGAACGTGAAAAAACGTGCGCAAAAGATTGTGGATGTCAATTCTGAGAGCTGACGAGAGATCCTAAGGTGGAGAGAGATTGTCAGGACTGGGTTGCTTGGAGGCACCGCAACAGGTGTCCACGAATCATATTGCGAGTTGACCAGCTACTTCTGCCTCTCTTCTTTTGAAGTGGTGCAGCATTGCTAGCCAGTTGGAACAAGCACGGAGAATGGCAGCTACAGGCCCTTTCCTGAGGCTAGCAGTCCCAGACGCCGAAGAAGGGAGGGCACCTCCAAGGGTTGCTGGCAGCTCTGACAGTCCATTGTACAGGAAGCGCGTTACAGAGATTGAGCAGGTGAAAGAAGTTGCCTACAAGTTGTACCACCCTTTTTGTGGCTTCAAACCCACCAAGTGCTCAAGCAGGGAGTAGTCGGTGGTGCGAAAGAGTAGGGTAGGGCAGTTGAGGTTGTAACAAGCCCCATGCAGAAGGGGCTGAATACGAAAGTCATGATAGCTTTTCTCCTGGAAAAGATTTCATCAAACTTTAAAACACTGGCTTGATGCAAGTGACAAAGCTCTCAAGTGGTGCGGATCTCCGTCAGCCCTTTGTCAAACCTTGACGGTGCCTATTGTGTTGCAGATTGGTGTTTCTGCTTGGATAAGGATTGGCCTTCTAACTTAAATCAAAGCTAGGGAGGCTTGCAATACTCTCATCAGGTCCTATCTTTGAATCTGACAACGGGTTTGCTCGCTATTAGCTCACGCATGGTCGTTTGCTATGCCAAAATTTACAGATGTGTCTATATGCTACTTCTCCACAAACGCCCATGAGATGGAATAAGAAAAGGGCATGAGACTAGCAGGCTGTTCCAGCGCCACTATACACTCCCAGCTTTTTGTTCCCATCCTGCATCTCTATGCTTCATTTTCCTTTTGAAATTGATTGTAAGCATAACCCCAACTGTTTGAAAACAACGTGGAACCATCCTGGAACTTTTAAACGGGTGTTCAAGGAATTAAGAAGCGAAGGAACTTATGTCAGTGGTTTCTTTGCAGATTTCAAGCTCTGCTGGCATGGACCTGCCTCAACCCTCCAGTCCACATGGGCCAGAGAGTGACGCAGCCATCTTTGCAGCGGTGTCGTTCCGACAGAGACTACGCAAGTACCTGGAGGTGTCACGGGCTGGTCTGTTCCTTGTACGTTGCGCCTTCCCTTATGGTTGCGATCTCATTGCTTCTAAAGCTGCTCAAGACCCTCGAATCTGTCGACACCAGTATTTGCAGATTGTTTTTATAAAGACCTTATGACCGAGCAGAAATCTGTGCCGTTCCCTGAAAGCCGGAGATTGCTTCTCAACAATAGTTGTACTGAGCAGTGTGTTTGTCAAGTGTCCTGAAAAGTGGCAGTACCAATGCATGTGTCTTGATGGCTTTGAGGAGGTTTCAACTCGTGTCAGAAGATCCTTTCCCTCTTCTTCCCTACTCCATTTCCTTCTTTCCCCTTTTCCTGATACGGATTACAAGTACTACGTCAGAAGTTTCATCCTGTGTTGCCTCTGGTTTTCAAAGACAAGAGTCTCACTCGTTTCTTCAGTCAGGTCAAATTGATATGCATTTGTTTGACACGCATTTTACTTGAGCAGTAGCTTTTAATCTACACGAGCATGTCGGGAAGGAAGTTTGTAAAGCTCTGAAGCTTCCTCCCGCTCGGCTCGAGAATCAAGATGTCTAACCATTGGTTGCAATTTGAACAGGACCTCTTCTCGACGGGGCTGAGCATGCTGGCAGTCCTGCTGTACATAGTTGAGACGTATCGAGTGGAGCCTTTCTCAGGGGACGTTGTCAACTGGTCCGCTTGGGAGTTCGTTGTCGAGGTGCGCTTCGAAGACCACTCAATTCGTTTGCAAACTGTTCCTCTGCTGATATTGAACAAGCGTGAGTAGGTTAGTCGTCTGCACCGATGAAGCCCACCAAAAGTCCCCACCGTCTGTAAAAGGAGAAAGCACTGAGACGCTGAACTTTCTCAGGAGGCACTCTGAGACTGGAACTTCAAGAACTAGGGACTCTTGATCGCCTCCTTGAATTTTGAAACTAACGGTGCAAAGGAACTGAGATTTACCTGGTCAAGAGCTGAGTGCGACTATTCCAATAATTGCCACGGCTCCCTGTAACGGATGCTCGATGCTCGAAACATTAGTGTCGGTCGTTGAAATGCTCATCTGGCCCTTTAAGCTCTTTTTCGGGTTTCAGACGTCCGGTCCAGAATAATGAACCGTGGGACGTCCAATCCAAAGAGAACCCAAAGAATGAGACAGACGTCATGACCTGTGCGTGCGTTTCTCCAATGCAGTTCGTCATCTCTAGCTTCTTCCTGCTGGAGTACCTTCTAAGGTTCTACGTCGCAGAAAACCGGTGAGCTTGGTGTGCTGACTGTGTGTGAACGCTGGATCTGATCATTCTCTCAAGAACAGACCGGCGTCTCTGCGGCACACTCGCTATGGTTTTCATCAGAGGCTTTTGCCTGCTGCAGGGACAAACTCTTTCGAAAAGAACGTCGATCGCTTGCTGTTGAATCGATCAGCCAACAACACTGACTTGAAGCGAGTCTTTGCAGAAGCTGCAACAGATATCAACCGCTAAACTATCACTCGGGAAGTCGCTCAGTTCTCTCCCCTTGCATTCGCAGCCTCGTGTACGTCTTCAGCTTGGCGGGCATTGTTGATGTCCTGACCATCGTTCCCACCTTCCTTGCTGCAATTCAAAACGCGAGTACAACGCTCAACTTCCTGAGAGTGGTAAGCGACATAGATTTGAGCTTTTTTTGTGATCCTTCTCCTCGCTTCCATGCTGCGCAGCCCCTGCAGGTTGCCCTGAACCTAAGATAGTCAGAGGTTTTTATGATTTTATTGGATCAGGTTTTCGCACCCGCTCTGGAGTACTGCTTCTCAAGCCTTCGTACTCTAGTCGCTTGAAGCTTCTCTTGGTTAGATAAGAAGCTTGGTTGTTGTGGCGATACTTAGAGGCTTTTGAAGCATGCCGTTGTTACAAGACGTGTCGTGATAGTTCTGTTTACGCTCTATTGTACTGCTGTTGCAGGTCCGGATCCTGCGGATCACTCGCGTCTTGCGAGTGCATCGTCTGCTGAGCCGCACCGATGCAGGTGAGGAGGCCCTTTCTTCGCTCTGAACTGGTTTTTTTATTTTGCAAGAGGTATCCTGATTGAAGCTCTACACCAATCGCTTGACCTAGCTTCCAGTCCGTTCGCTTAGAAATTGCGATAGATATAGTCCACCCTTTGTCCGAGCAAGACCAATTGCAATTACAGAACCTTATCATCGCTTTCACCATTGCGATTCCTCACCGGGATCCGCTATGCCTCCGGATAATGCTGGCACACACTGTTGGCTGCCTGACCTTTGCGCAGCTGGCCTACTCATGTTGGTTGCTGATCGCTGTGACAAGACCTGGGACCATCTCTTTTCCTGAACGGAAAACGCTATGCCCCCGCAGAGGTGCACCGCAAGGTGATGATGCTGGCGTATACGGTCGTCTGCACGATCTTTGTGACGGCGGGCCTGCTCAATATCGCGGAGCGGCGGCAGCATCTATCCTTCCTGAACGCGGTCTATCTTACGTGCATCTCGCTGAGCACCATAGGCTATGGGGACATCCATCCAGAGGTAGTGTGCTGACCGTCATCTGTTCGCCAGTTCTGCTTTCACTTGTTTTCACTTGTTTTTCACTTGCTTTCACTTGTTTTCACTTGTTCTGCTTTTCCTTTGTATTGTTGGTCCTTCAGCTGAGGGGCATCACATTCGGCTCGTGTCTCCTCTTGGATGTTGATTGGTTTTGAGGAGCAGAACTCTTCAAAAGCGGCTTGATCAAGGGGGAAGCGGGCCTAGTTTGATCAAGGGGGAAGCGGGCCTAGTTTGAACGGCTGCGTTTGATGTTGATTGATGACCAGCTTCTGAAACCGCAGGAAATGCTGCAATCAGTGGTCGCAGTGTGGTCCTAGTGTGGTCGTAGGATTGGCGAAGTGTGCGGTTCCACAAATGACAAGAGGTGGAGACATTGCTCTCTATGCGTTCTCTCCGGATCCAGATTGGACGATGTGACCTGTGCAAATCAACCCAACTCTAGCGTCAGAACCTGCAGAGCCTTCCCAGAAGCGGCACCTTAAAAACCTCTCAACGTTCCTGTGCAGTCTGATGCTGGCAAGGTCATCATCCTGGGCATGCTCGCAGTCATCTTTATCGTGTTGCCGTATCAGGTGAGGCCGGCCACTTTTAATCCCAACGCAATCATACTTTCTCCAATTTGAAGCCTCTGAGATTGGTAATAGGCGCAGATCACCAGCCTGTTTGGATTAGCAGAGGTTACACCGAAACAAAGAATGATGCCGCCCGGTCAAGCATCCTCGGTCCTCAAAAGCCGTCAAGAATATTGTTTGGTTGACCTCTCGACCCGTGAGAAAGGCGCTGCAAACTTGAATACAGCCTCAATGAAGATTCTTTGAAAATCTGATCTCTGGCACCTTGTTGACGTTTCCTCTGTGCAGACGACATCGCTCTTCAACCTGCTCTCCCTTAGTTCACGTAAGCCGGCTTCGTATACTCTGCTTACAACCTATGCCTCCCTGAGCTTCTACTGAGCTTGTGTTCTCTGCTACTCTCATCCTCAAGCCCAAGGTTCCCGCAATCTCATGCGACGCAGTCATTATCGCAGACGACAGCTTGCAAGTCTTACTTCGTTCGTTCAGTTCCGCTTGTTTCACACAAGAGGGATACTTCGTGCTTGGCGAAAGAAAGGCTGAGCAAGTGCTCGCTAATTCGCCTATTGGGGCTTCAAATTCCGGATTTTATGTGGAGAGGCTTACGCATTGACGTGGTTGCAGTCTACGCGCGCATCTGGTACCGTCCCCTGCGCACAGGTAGCCACGTGGTGCTCTGCGGAAACCTTACAACCAGGGTGCGTCTTGTTGTGATGGTTGCATCTCCTAGAAATTTGTTGTTCTTTATCTGACGTCTTATCGGCTTTGAAGCTTCCAATCTATCGGCATTGCTTCCTTCGCAAAGAAAGCCGCCGGTCCTTCCATTGCTACCCAGTCGGGCTCTGATGTGTCTGCTTTTTGAAGCCAAAGGTTCACAGTGGACAAAGTCTATCATGGGACGCATTTCATGGATGGTGCCCCTCACAAAAGTCAGAGTACGAAGTCTGGAGGATTGGCCGGAAATGCTGCGCCTTTACTTACGACAAGATACGTCTTAGGCTTGGAGTTACTTTGTTGGTCGAACGTTCTGTTGGGTAATTACTTTTCTCTAACCTGTTTTCGTGTCGCTTTCAGGGAGTTTCAGACTTCATCACCGAGTTCTTCGACAAAGACCATGGCTTTGGCGACCAGGACCTCGTCCTCTTGGCCCCACAGGTGAGTTGAACCAAAGAGTCACCTGAACTGTACCTACAGAAGAAAAATGGAAGAGCACATGTCGATGCACCGCCTTGTTCCTGTCGACGCTCTCCATTTTTGACAACAAGCGCGAACATACCTACCTCAAGTGGATTGGAAAACGTGGCCGGTTTGATCAGATGAGCAACGTCTGGCATCTAATCGTTTCCTGCCCCAGCGACCGCCTAAGCCGACACCTTATGCAGTCCCGATCGCGAACGTCGAGATGTTCGAACGACTTTTCTCGATTCACGCACGATAGTAGACTGACCCACACACGTTTTCCCGGCAGGCCCCCTCGCGGCAGCTGGAGCTGCTGATGCGCGCGTCCGTGCACAGCCGGCACATGCAGTACGTGGAGGGATCCCCCATGTTCGCCAAGGACCTGCGGCGCGCCGCCGTCGAGCGCGCGAGCGCGTGCTTCTTCCTGACCGACAAGTTCTGCCACGACGCGAGCGAGGAGGACAGCAGCAGCATCATGCTCGCGCTCGCTGTGCAGCAGTACCTCACGGACCACGCCAACAGCACGGGAGCGACGCACAGGTGCGGCGTTACGTTCCGGCCTTTTCTGGTTCCGTTGCGTGCCAATTTTGGTTCTGCCCCGACGCGAGCGAGGAGGACGGCAGCAGCATCATGCTCGCGCTCGCTGTGCAGCAGTACCTCACGGACCACGCCAATAGCACGGGAGCGACGCACAGGTGCGGCTTTCCGTTCCGGCCTTTTCTGGTTCCGTTGCGTGCCAATTTTGGTTCTGCCACGACGCGAGCGACGATGACAGCAGCAGCATCATGCTCACGCTCGCCGTGCAGCAGTACCTCAAAGACCACGCCAACAGCACGGGAGCGACGCACAGGTACGCAGTTCCCCTTCCGTTCGGCTTCGTTCCGTTCATTCTTATGTATCCTTCTGCCTTTTGCCAGAATCCCAGGGCGGCAGAGTAGAAAGCGGCAGCATCATGCTCGCGCTCGCCGTGCAGCACGGACCACGCCAACAACACGGGAGCGACGCACAGGTGCGGCGTCCCGCTTGTTTCGTTTTGTTCCGTTCCATTAACCTTCAACCAGAAACCAGGGGATGCAGCAGCAACATGCTCGCGCTCGCCGTGCAGCAGTACCCCATCGACCACACTAACAGCACGGGAGCGACCCACAGGTGCGGATTTCCGTTCCGCTCGATTACCGTTTCGTTTCGTGCCAGATCAAATTTTAGCTATGACGCGAGCGAGGAGGACAGCGACAGGATTATGCTCGCGCTCGGTGCAGCAGTACCTCACGGACCACGCCAACAGCACGGGAGCGACACCACAGGTGCGGCTTTCCGTTCCGGTCTTTTTCCGTTCCGTTGCGTGCCAATTTTGGTTCTGCAGCGACGCAAGCGACGATGACTGCAGCAGCACCATGCTCGCGCTCGCCGTGCAGCACTCCCTCAAAGACCACTCCAACAGCACAGGAGCGACGCACAGGTATCAGAATCCGTTCCGTTCCGATGGGACTCGTTCCGTTCCTTCAATTAGTCTTTTATTTTTGGCCGGAGTTGGACGGTAAGAAGCAGCCGCGTTGTGCTGGCCCCCTCAGTGACCACGCAAACAGCACTGAAGCAACTCTTAGGTGCGCATTTCCGTTCCGCTTTCTTCCCTTCCGTTTCGTAGAGGATGTTTGGGAGATGCGAGGAGGAGTGCAGGCAGCAATTCCTTTGAAATCCTTTCACATCCTTTCACAAGACACCGTAGGATTCTCTTTTATCGTCTTTTGGGAACTGACTCTTTCTTTTCTCTAACTCTCCGCTCTTACAAGATGAGTCTCCCTTCCATTGGTTTCCCCCGCAGTCCCCGGCTTATCGTCCAGCTCCTGAAACCCGAGAACCGCGAGCACCTGATTGCCAACATGGCAGTGCACAGCGGGCTGGAGCCGGCGTGCCTGAACGGTCACGACGTCGTCTGTGTGAATGAGATCAAGCTCGCGCTGCTGGGCGCCGCTTGTCACACGCCGGGGCTGAGCACACTGATCACCAATCTCTGCATGTCGACCAGGGTGAGAGCGCAATCTGGGTTTTTCCGCTTTTTTACTGTTTGCAAGTAACAATTTGATGGTTTCCCGCGTTTTGATGGTTCGTTCATTTGTGGTTAGAGAGTGCTTGCCGAATCAGCGCTGTCCAAGCTGGGAGCAGTCACCGTCGAAGGCAGCGACAACATCTCAGAATGTAAAGGATGCCCTGGAGACATTATAAAACTGTCAATCGCTTCTCCGGACGAAAACCTGTGGCTTGCGCGAGACCCCAGAGGTTCGAAGTGTTGCAGCGCTTTACTTTTGCGCAGGTCGACTGCGGGCTTACTCGAAGCGACTCCCTTCAAGCTCACCAACTACGGAAAAGTAAAACGTGTTCCTCTATGTATAGTGCTGTGCCTATGGCCCTTTCTTCCAGTCACGAATGAGCCCGTTGATGGTATGTCTGACGTAACCAATGGTTACAAGATTCATTTGAGCCACAGAAAGGCTGCAGAAGAAGTATCCTCTGTCAGAATTGGACCGTGACTATATTTCCAGGTGTCACGCAAGAGCAGCAAGCACCGGGAGCCCTGGCAGCAGGAGTACATGCACGGGGCCACGCAGGAGATCTACCGGACGCCCCTATCCGCAGGCTTCAAGGGCATGCGCTTCGAAGAGGTAAGCGCTTAAGCCTGACCGTTTGCGACAACAGAATTGCAATTCTCAGTATCTGAAAGAAGCTACGACGTTTCTCAAGGACGGTCGCTTTGTTGGGTCGCTTATTGCTCGCATGTCAAGTCCCTAGAAAGGCCCTGCTGTGTAAGTAAGCCTCCTCTTCCTCCCCTGTAGTACTTCAAATCCAAGCAGATACACTTCGCTTTTGGCTGCTTTGCGGGGTCAGCGAAGGCGAAAAGGTTGTTCAACTAACAAGATCCGCTAACTGAGAGGGCTGACCTAATCAATTGGAACAGACACTAAGAAGGAGTCCGCTCCTATCAATCGAAATTCACAGGAAAGTCATCCGACTTTTCAAAGCGTATCTTTCAAAGGAAAAGTCAGTTTAGCATCAAAAGACCTGGACTCTAAATTGCTTGTGCTGTCAGGTCGCCGCTTTGGTCTACGAGGGCTGCGGCTGTCTTCTCATCGGGCTGGCCGTGATGGGCGAGAGCTTCGAAGCAGGCGACCGCGAAATCCTGCTAAACCCCTGGGGTTTCGTGATCGAAGACGTGCGGCGAACCCTGGGGTTTATCGTCGCGCAGGACGTGGGCGCGTCGCTCGTCGTCGCGCACTTCGGGCTGAAAATAAGCCCCAAGAAGATACTCCCGGACGCGTACCTGGCTCCGCAGGTGCCTTTTCACACTTTTTTTGCTCTGCAAGGAGCAGCTGGATATACTAACAAGAGTGTGTGCTTGACGGGCCAAAATAGACGGGCTAAATTAATTTTCTTAAGAAGGTATGGCTCCGCATGTTCGCGGCCCTACCGCCATTAGCTTTTCTCTCGTGGCCCCTACAGAGACAGTATCCAACAAAGATTGCCCGCTTTCAGAGAGAGTCTATTTTACTCGTCGCTGGAATCCAAAAAAAAGTGGGCGACAGCACACTCTCTTCCCAACATTTTGACCTCTCCGGTTTTTAGTGCCCATTCTTCTTATCGCAACTTAAAAAATGAAAGTAGAACTTCTGTGGCGCAAAGAATCCGAAAGGGCGAGGGTGAAACGCGCAGCTAAGCAAGGATTTGCCCAGAGAAACAATGAAGGCTGATGCGGTCCTTTACGTGCAGTTTTCCCCCGAATGGGACGTTCATCGGACGTACACCCGCCGAGAAGACTTTGAAGCCGACGCAGAGCGCTTTCAAGACTCTAGTCCCCGGGCTTCCGTCCGGCCTCCTAGACCGCCGGAACGGAACCCAAAGCGGCGAAGCTCCGACGGGATCTTGCATCGGATCAACTCGTTTGGAAAGCTGTCTGCAGCAAAGTAAGCAGTGCCTGACCGATTCTTGCTACGGGTTTGTGTGGTCATACTTACGATGTTTTTTCGCCGCAAGCTTTACTTCCTTTATGAAAAACCAACGAGAGCAGATAACGAGGGAACCTGACACTGAACGTGATGTTCAGGATGGAATACAAGTTCCTGGATGCAGCGACCAAGGTCAATTAGGACCTTACCCTTCTTAAAGCATTGTGCTGCTGGCTGGCGACCATCCCATGCATGCAACAAGTAGCTGCTTCCTTAACTTCATTATCCTTCGACCACGATTCTCGTGCTTGAACTCAAAATTTCCTACTGTTACTCCCGGCTGCTTCTCCCCTACTCCGACAGCTGACAAAGGCTATTATTTAGCTCCTACCCGCCAGTCGCTGACGTAAGCATGACCGCCTGCAGGTTGTCCGCCCTCCACCTGTTCCGCGACAAGCCCCCCCTTCCGGTCAAGACCGCCAAGCTCCCCCCCGCCGCGATCCCGAGCGCGATGAACCTCGCCCTCACCGCGCTGCGCACCCGTAGCTTTATTCCGGCGACCCCCGACCTGAAACCCCCTAGCCGCAGTCGCCCCACCACGCCAAAGCCCGGGACGGCGACCCCCCGGGACGAACAGCGGCCGCCGAAAAGCGCCCTGTTTCGTTTCGGGGGGGTCCGCGCGTCCGCGGACCTGGACGACGAGGTCGGGCTGCTGGAGCGCCGCCCGTCGCAGCGGCCGTCGCGTCAGAGTGACGTCAGCGTCGCGGCAGAGGCGCCACGTGGCAGGCGGATCAGCGGCGCGGAGTCGGAGAGGGAGTACTGGGACCGGGCGGCGCAGGAGCCCCTGGAAGCTCTCGGGGAACTGTACCACCTAGACTCGGAGGTAGGAAATTGCTCGCCGTTCTAGTTCTGCCATCGCGTTAGCTCAACTGGCGAAGCTACACATTTTTCCTGATGGATCGATTATTTATCCCGTCCACTCTTCTATACACAGAGACACCAACGATCGGCCGCTCAGCATCTTCACCCTAGTTTAATAAGCGTCGACCCGGCTGGAAAGCGCCGCCTGGGCTCCAAGCTTCTGTGCCAGCCTTTAGTGATTACCATGTAAGTGTTACTGCTGTTAACCTGTGAAACCCGGTTTTCCAAACCCTATAATCTTGTCCACAGGGCAACCCGTTGGAGGAGTGCCGTCTCGGCCGCGTGACATTCGACGGCCACGTGGTGGTGTGCGGTCCAGTGGAAGGGCTGTTCCATCTCATCGCCCCGCTGCGCCGCAAGACGCTCGACAAGCTGCGCCCGATCGTCATTATGGACGACGTGCTTCCGCTGCGCGAGCAGGCAAGCGATGCGTTCCGTTCATTTCCGTTCCGTTCCGTTTGCTACTTTCCGCTGCACGAATCGTCGGGACCTCGTTTCCCTGCTGCGCCGCGAGCCGCTCGGACATGATGCGCCCGATCGTGACATAGACGACGTGCTTCCGCTGCGCGAGCAGGTGAGCGTTCCGTTCCGTTCCATTGTTCCGCTGCAGAAATTGTCTAGGTTCCGGAGAGCCCCCTATCTTCGGTCTCCTCAGGCCCTCCCGACCCCAAAACTACGACTGCACGCCCGGTAACCAAAACCACTCTTGTGCAGCAAATCAATTCTGGCGACGCTTCAACCCGCAAACTTCCCTTCCGTGCAGTGGGAGCGGCTGTCTATCTTCCCGGGGCTGTACTTCTTCCAGGGATCCCCCCAGAGCACGGACGACCTGATGCGCATGAACCTGCAAGGCGCGTCCGGCGCAGTCATTCTGTCCAAGAGCTACGGACCCGGACGAGAGCGGCTTGAGTACATGTTGGATGCGGACACCATTTTTACGTTCCAGCACTTCAAGGCGATCAACCCGTCGCTCGAGGTGAGAGGCTCTTCCCTGGCGTGTTGTCGGTTTCAACTTATTTTCGAGTTTTGTCGGTTTGTTCGAAAGTTACAAACTCGGACGGGAGCGCCTCGAGTACGTGCTGGATGCAGACAATAGCTCCATGGTCCAGCAAATCAAGGGAATCAACTCGATCCTTAACGTGAGGGCTCCTTTCGCACATTTGAGCGTAGTTTCGACCCCATCCGTTTAGTATTCCAAGAGCCGTCAATCTGTACAAAGGCCGGACCCGGACAGGAGTGCCTCGACTGCATGGTGATATGGGCATCCTATTCATGCCGTCGTTCTTTAAGGCGATGAATCCAGCGCTTGAGAGACTCCGAGCCCACTCAAGCCAGGCCTGTCGTTCCGGCCACTGAATGTTTTTGACTTAGAGCGAAGGTCGATGAGATCATTTTTTTTCTTCTTGTGCAAAATTCTTGTTCGGATTTTGCACATTGCAGGCTTTCAACCGACGAGCATTCAAGAGGAGAGAGGCTCCTAGGTGCTTTTCTTTCAGCGAAAGTCATGTCAAGCTTCTTCTTCTCCACTAGCAACTTGGCGCACAAAACTCGAGTTGCCCGATGCATTAGAAGCAGTCGGGGTCACGAGATACAACCAATCGCAGCAATCATCAATTACAGGAAGAGGAACCTAAGTCAGGGAGAAGGGTGCATCTACGACTTGAGGACGGGAAGAGAAGCGCCCTCCCTTTCAGGAATCGACGTAGTGTGTTCGTTGTACAACGGGACCCTACGGCAACTCGTTCACACCCATCCATTCCTGACTCTGTCACTCTTCCTCAGGTGCAATGTGAATTGGTCAGCGCCGCAAACCTGGCTTTCCTCCTGCCGGGCCCGGCGCGCGCTGTCGCCATCTCCGCGCACGAACCGCAATCCGCGCCGCCTTTCGCGGCGGGACGCGTTCTCATTGGCCAGATGCTCGACCGGCTGCTGCCGCAGGTATGTGCCACGTGGCAGCATGGGAGGTGGTGACTTTGCACCGGCGCTTGAATTTAGCTTTGCGTCGGATGTTGGGTCGCGTTTCCGTTGGAAAGACGGTGGAAGTCCGCAGTTTGTGTAATCATGCTCTGCATATTCTAGTGTAAAAGCTGGGCAAACGGTCAACGAAAAAGGGTCAGGTGCTCCATGCTGGAATGGTTTCGGTACAGAAAGCTGCGCAGTGAAGCGCCTTCTTTCTGCATTGTCGTATCAGGCCAGTTTTCATAAAGCCAAGTCTCGGTACTGACTCGATGCTCATGATTGTTTGCGAAATAGGAAAGACAGTGCTTCAGCATCAGGGGAGAAGAGCCAATAGCGTTAAAGCAAATGCACGAGGGGAGAAAGGCGAGAAGTCTGCCATTGTCTTTGCAGACGTTCTACAACGGCGATCTCCAGCTCATCCTCCATCAGTTACTGGTGGGCGTTAAAGGTTCGTCGCCGGTCGGTAACGGCGCATCCCAGCCCACGTTTCCGTCCAAGGGCGTCTGCATCCGGCAGGTTCCGGTTCCGCCCGCCTTCTACGGCCGGACGTACGGAGAGCTCGTGGCGCACATGGTCCGGACGGAGAAGCAGCTGTGTCTCGGGCTGTACCGGCAGGGAGAAGAGAACACTGGGATGTTTCCATATGTGAGTGAAGGTTGACCTTTTGGACGACAATTGGTAGCTTGATCTTTTGCCTGGTCTTGGTATGGAAGGAGCCAGAGTCGTCTGCCTCCAAGCGGCACACCAGATTCTATGCCGGCACGGGAGGATGTGACGGGCGTCTCTCCGTGAGTCTTGAGTCGCAAACGTTCGTATTGCATCAGGAGACCTGACGTTACTGGTCAGCTGTTAACTTGGAACAAGTTTTAGGATTGTGGTGGGTAACTAATGTTGCGAGCGTCCTCCGTATGGCTGTAACTTTGAATGGAAGGGCAATCGATTACGTCACGCGTTTTCAGGTGTACATAGCGACATTCCCGACACATCTACGTGGCGCTTTACCCCACCTTCCTCATTGGCGAAGGCTGACGTTTTTCAGCAATCTACGATAGGGGTTGCTCCTGATCTCAGAGTTCGCTATGGCTGTTGGGGTCCTCCGTTGTGTTGGCAAAGGAAGAAGGGCACTGGAAATCCTGTGATTACGGATCAATCGTACACATGCTGGTGCGAGTAAATGTACGCGCACGAATTATTGTGTACTTGACCACACGTTCTGAAGTTCACTGATGAGACTCCGTCGAAGTTTCAGCGAGGCCAGAAAAGAAGCGAAGATGGTATCTTCTAATTTTGAGCGGCGCGCTTGCAACCAGTATCTCTTTCTCCAAAGATCCGTTACAACGCCACCAAGACTCTTGACCGCCAACTCGACTTGTGACTGCCAACGGACTGCCTTTTCACAGGTCTGCACGAACCCGGTGGCGAGCACCATCGTGGCGGGCGACGACGTCATCTTCGTGATCGCGCACGTCAGCGTGACGTCACCGGTGGAGGATATGGACCGCCGGACACCGCAAGGGGCCCCTTCCAGCTCGGTGTGGAGCCTCGTCACGGCGAGCCGGGTGTTGGCCAAGGTGACCGGGGAATACAAACGAGGCCAAGAGTTCAGGCTGCGAAAAGTAGGCGCAAGCGAGGATAACATAGCCGGTCTGAATACGAAGAAGCGACTGACGAGAGTAGGTAGCATGCCAGAGCGGCAACTAGCGGCGGCAGCTTTAGGTATCGCACGCAGCGGTAGTGTTGAGGATGATGAGGTCGGCGTCGAAGGGCCGAGCGCGGATGTCGAGCGGAAGGAGGCCCGGCAAGCGGAGCCGGGGAACGCTGAAGTGATGCAAATGATGAGAGAAATCATGAGCGGCGTTGAGGGGATCAAAGAGCAGGTACTCGAGGAGATAAACAGCTTGAAGAAAGAGATCAGCAGCCTCAAGAAGCAGGTAACATGGACGCGGTTCGACCAGAACACCCAAAACTCGCTTCTCTACTAACTGAATTCGGGCCAAAGGAGAAAGAGGACGGACGATTACATGTTCGGGTAGCGGAGTAATGCCGCGCATGCTTAATATGTCATGTATGGTAGAGCTACTGAAAGGCGCATCTTCAGATTACTGTATATCGACAAGCCCGCCTTCGAATCATTTTTCGGAGGATCTCAACTTATCAACCTCTGCTTACATACCTAGTTGTTCAAAACGATTCTTTATTGATTGTTATCAAAGAACTCGGAACGCCGCTTTGGAGCCATGTAGAGACAGGATTGGTCGACATTCTGAACGCGTTGATGTCAGCATCTAAAGAGCGTGCATGTGGCCACAGCAAAGCATTGAACGTGTGACTCCCCAGCCTGGTGCGCAGCAAACCAAAAGTATAGTTTCTAGTACTAGGAAGTATTTGCTTCACAAATACCGCTGGATATGAGTTTGGACGATTCGTTTGCGCCCGAACAGTTCCAGCGTGACTGGTTTTAACCCACTGCCAAAAGGACTCAAGCCCGGTAGGCATCCGACCAGAATTGCCTGCAGCTTCGGCCGGGTTTTGGCTCCAGAAGCTTCGTCGTTGGCATGCGCCTGACAGCGTCAGATCGTTGCGTGAAACACCATCAGAAGGCGGAAATCATGCAGCCGTATACCTATGCGCGCGCCAAAGTTGTGGCTCAGATTGCTTCCTACCGTGATGCACTTTTCATCCATGGAACAGCAATCAGTCTAGGTATACAAAAGCTCGTCGTCAGCCGAGCGGCTCCACTTCACGGGCCTGGGGATCGCATACCGTGACCGCCAGCCCGCTCTACGGGCCGGGCCGCCGGCTGATGCTTGCCACGTGTCGAGTGATGACTCGTTGAATAGAAACCTCTCATTGAACCCTAAAACTCAAGACCGTATACCAGGACTCGGCCGGGAATGGCGCTGGTGGCGGCCGCCGGGCGGCCGGCCGGGCCGGCCGCAGTCCGTCTAGTCAGCATGACAACACAGTGAATGCATGCGCTTGACCACTGCTGTGCTCCCAATCTGCTCCAAGTCCTACTAATACTATTTAAGGACTAGGATTCTCTGTGAAGGCTACTAGAGCGGTGCAGGACGATGCATAATCGTAGCTGAGCAGCTTGTATGTCATAGGGCCAAGTGATCTGGTCCTGCAAGCTGCGAGGTGTCAACAATAATCATGCATTTTTTGCCTTGATCGGGGGTGGCCTGCTGCTCTTTTCAGGTGCTAGAATCTCCAGACATGGCGATTTGCATCGGAGATGAAGGTAATTTTTTTCGTGAAGATCTGCTGCCCATGCAAACTTCAGAATTGTCTGTGCAGTCTGGATCAAAAATTCCACAGTAGCAATGGAATGTTCCGCAACAGATAGGATTGCACAAGGGGGCTGTGAGTGCTATGATATAATGCAAGGGAAATCACAAGTATCTGACATGTTTTGAAAGTAGAGCAGTAATTGTGATACGCACTGGATAGTAAAACTTTGAGCAGAATCACTTTCCTTGATGCTGGTGGATACAACAGATGATGCGCCGTTTTACTTGGTGGTATGACATTAGGAGCATGTCCACGTTGAGCTTTTACCTGCTGACTTCTAGTCCTTGGGGTTAAGCGGTTGAGTCTACATCTTTGCCTATTCCTGTTGTAAAATGTCGAGTCTCTTATTTTTTTTTCATCTGCCTAAATTGCTTGTGGCGGGCCTGGGTCCATCTTTCTCGCAAGTGTCTAGTCGTGACCATCATCACTGTTCAATGGCATCTTCATCATGGGTTTGGTTGCAGAAGCTTTCTTTGCTGGCTTCCCTTTGATCAGCATACAAGAAGTTGAGCAGTCACCCTGTCAGCTTTGTGTAAATGCTGCTCAGTCATATACAAGGGGTGGACATGAAGGAGTAGGGCATCTCATAGGCTCTTATTTTTCTATGTGAATCACGAGTACTGCAACTTCCTTCCAAAAGTTCCTGGTTAGTAGCAAAAAGCAGCTATCCCTGACAGGTCGCTGGTCAACTTTCAAACAAAACTTTCCAACACAGAGTTGGAACTCCTGCACTGTTTGTGGAAGCCAAGGACAGACAGTATTCGTGCGTCCTACCTGCTGACGATCGTTCTTGCATAAGGAAAGACATCATTCACATCTGCGCAGGTGTTATAGCAAAGTTTCTAGCCTCTCTACGGCTCCTCCAGGCGCTGCCCCCTGCATGCGTCCAAAAGGTTGCAGATCGGATTGAGGTGTTGACATTCAGACCTCAGGAGGTCTTGGCCAAAGAAGGGACACCCAGCAGGGGCCTGTACATCTTGCACAGTGGCCAGGTCAGGCTCCAGATAGAACTGTTGGTATTGTCTTTTCTCGGCTTTCAGAGTCTGCAAAGCCTGCTTTATTTTCAAAGTGTACTATCCAGAAGTGGGCGGCAGTTGAATTGGCGACACATTAGCTGTGTGTACTTGTCTGAAAACGAGGAATTGTGTTACGAATCTCCCACATGGTGCAAGTAGGCGCTTCATGAGTACATGGGAGCAGATTTTGTGTTTGGTCCATCGACTCGACAAGATGCAAGTTGGAATCCAGGGAATGAGACATTAAACAATGACGTTGCTGAAAGCTAAGCGCCTCTACTTTGTATGGCTACTTCTGAACCGGTCAACTTCGGCAAATTTGTAGAGGAATGCACTGTCAACCGACTTTAGTTATGTTCCATTTTGACAAATTTCCACCATCACAACGTGTGAAGCACAACTGGTTTAGACTAACTCTACATGGACACTTGCAGGTTCGAGTTGTCCAGGCCCCAAACCACGTTGGCAGCACAGACCACACCGCACTGGTCCTCTCGGTTGGGGACCATTTTGGAGGCCAAGGCAGTTGCGCCACCGACTTCTCCAAACAGCATCTCCATTCAGCCGACGTCGTTGCGGTCACGGAGGTATGCTCGATGATGTCACGCTTGTTTGTGTCTTTCCCCCTGCAGTACGTGTCATGAATATTGTACAGCAGTAAGCCAACGTACGTGTACTTAAGCTGGCAATCAAGCAAGCAATCAAGCCATGATCAGATTGTCAGGCGGCCGCCATGTAGCCAGCCGGACCATAGTGTTTTCAGCCCGTTTTGGACGGGAGCCAGTGCACTCTCGATGATCAGCTTGGTCTTGTTCTTGAGAAAGTTCACCGTACTCTGCTTCCATTTGGAAAAAGACAACGGCATGTATTTTGAAAGATCAACTTCTATAGACGGATGCGTCACGCATTTATGGGCCTTCAGAATTGCAGCATTCTGTGACGATCTTGCAAAGCCCCTGTATTGTCACATGAATAATGAGCGCTGCTCTGACAGTCTATTCACCACTTGTGCAGGTCACCGTTTTGTTACTTCCCAATGAGCACTGTCACCTGTTGTCCGAAGACAGCAGCCACGTGGTCCAACCAGAGGGCGAGAAGCAAGCGCTCATAGCGCGCATCCTCCACCTGGACAGACTTGAGGTGAGGAACATAACCTCTCCTCCACGTTTCTCTCTCGATCCCGGCAGCTAACTGCGCTTCTTTGTACAGGCGTCGTTCTTCTTCATTTGTTTCCTCCACTTTGAAGATTTCCGCTTTTTGACAGCAACTCGATTTCTAGTCTTTTGCCACAGGGTTCCAATTTTGAGCACTCCCAGTATTTAGGCTGGTATGACACTTTAAGAGAAGTCCAATATGCACACTATCTGTATCAGACGACCTGGTTCTGAGATCATTATGTCCGAATTCTTGAGCGCTTCGATGAGCAGACTGTTCCATCTGCCAAAGCTAGAATGGGTTTTCCTGCTCCACCAACGGGGTTGAACGTATTTCCCTTGATTCTTGCCCAGGCGGACTTCTTCCAGGGGGTGACGATTCCCGAGGGCAACCTGTACCCCCGATTGTTTGGCGGCCAGCTTCTTGGGCAGGGCCTCTGGGCGGCCTGCCAGTCGGTGGATGCTTCCCTGGGTGTACACAGCCTGCACTCCTACTTTCTCCTCCCCGGCGACCCAAACGGTGAGTGGTCGCTTTGCTTTCCCGTCAGAGGTGCCATCTTCTCGTAGATCTCTGCACTCAGAAGCTCCTCTGTCGAAGTGGGGCAGGCAATTGCTTTGAGCGGGCAAAAGGAATCAACGAGCGTACGAAGTTGCGTGGCCAGTGAACTCTAGTGAACTCTTAGAGGTGGTGATGTTGGTGGTAGTGCTCAAGGAATCAAAGTTGGGTCAAATATTGATACGACTCTGAAAACGCGTGGCAAAAGCTGTTTGGGAATCGACTCTTTTACAGAACCTCAAACACTCAGCTGATCTTCGAGCTTGGCATCTTCGTGATTCGGTGCACTTATTACTAGATGTGTTTACTTGCTCATTGTTGGTCGTATGGGACGGGGCTCGATCCCTGCGATGAGCAGAAACAGTGCACCTGCTGCTCCAAGTCGAATCATGCCCTATTCTGCTTATTCAAAAAGTGTAGAGCGAAGCAGGGGTTACAAAATTCATATGAGCCACAGATGAGTACGCAATAATCTTTTTTAAATCAACCTATGAGTGGAGGCCAGGATTGGCTTTCATACATTCTCAATTGCTTACAGTTGGCAAAAAAGCCCGCTTCGACGAGTTTGTGACGCTTATCTGGCGCTCTTTCCGCAGTCCCCATCATCTACCGAGTGGATCATATCCGGGACGGCAAGTCCTTTGCCACCCGCCACGTGGTTGCAATCCAAAAGGGCCGCAACATCTTCAGCCTCCATGCGTCATTCCAGGTCAGCAAATTCAGAGCTGCAAAACCGACTCGAAGGATGCACGTCGACCGAAAAGCTGCGAAAAGCTTTCCAGATTTCTCCGCCATGCAATCGGATGGCTTTTCAGATCCACGTGGTAATCCAAGGTACATACCAGAGGAGTAACATGGCTCGAAAAAGTACCGTACCTTCTACCTGTCGGTATTACAAAGGCAACACTGGAGGCCAAGTTGGCTTTTGGTCGATGCGCAATCTAATCTCAAGATGGTGCATGCAAGTCGCGCTGCTTAAACGGCTTCAGAAAGTTGAGGGGACGGTATGGAAAGTGTAGACACCCCTGGGGACGCTGAAAGCATGGGTCGACGAGTTGTTGTAAGACAACGTAGACGAAAACATGTGCGGCCATCACCAAAACCTGCCGGCAAGAAGGTGGAGAGAGAGGGCTGGGCGGTCTGTATTGTGGCGCCAAGGGGCGAGCGAGATTGCCGCCCGGCTGGCCTATTGGCGCGCACTGACGGTGCCCAGTCTCCCTTGCGGTTCATCAATAGCAACAGTTGCAAATCATTCCTGGACTTGAAATGTGCACTTTGAGTGCTGCGTCGCGGCTGCTGAGTATTGAGGACCAACCCCAAAACCCCAAAACCCCAAAACCGTAAAACCCTAAAACCCTAATAGGCCATATTCTTAGACCCGCTTACACCACAAACATGTCAAGATCCCTGTGGCTGCAGAGAGCGGAAGAGGGGCTCGAGCACCAGTACCCGATGCCGGCGGCCCCCAGCATTGAAACGGCCAGTCTCGGTCGCCGCTCTTAGCCTTCGACTGTTCCGGTTCGCTCGTCTGATCGCTCGTTCCGATGTTGCTCGTTTTCTTTCGTGCTATGAGAGCGCCCTTCAAGGTTGTCGCCTGCTGCTTCTCCGCAAATGTACGACTTTACCGCTTTTCTCCGGTGCATCATGATGGTGTGGGAGACGCTTGTGCAGTATTCAAGCATTCAGACGCATTCATTTGGAGCCTGCCATGCAAAAGTTTCTCACTCACTGAATGGCACGTGTCTGCAGGTTCCCACGTGGGAGGAGCTTCAGGAGGAGTACTACAACGATCCACGTGTCTCTAAGTGAGCCGCCGATTAGCATCGATTTGCATACTCTCAACGCACTAATCTTCCAACCAGCGCCTTCGGCATTTGCCTGTTCTCGAACGCTTCTGTAAGCAGCACGAAACGGCTTCCCAGCTTTATGAGCCACTCAATGCTCGATTGCATCAAAGCTTCAAAATTTCTGCAAACTTTCCTGTCCCATTCGTCAGAGCCTTTCTGTGTTATGTTCGCTTCAAGCTTGAAGATTAGAAATACTTCCGTTTCCACAGTTCATCTGATTGTGGTGCGACTGAAACAGGGAAGCGCGCGAGCGCTTCAAGCGCCGGCGGAAGCGACCCATTGCGATCGACATGAAGTTTTGCGAAGCCATTGACAGAGTGGAGCCCCAGGCTCGGCCGCCCAGGCGAGTTTACTAATCCGATTCGTCTTTCTTCTCATCTTTGGGTGTTTCTTAACGTACTGAAGGGTCAGAAATGTGTAGGTCAAAGGCTCGACGTTGGAATAGAGGCAGTGGAGCTTGCAGCACGTAAGACGGAAAGGGAAGATAAAATGTTTGGATTTCGAAGGGGTTTGCTTGAAGACAGGAGGGCACAGGAAGCGGACGAACACTTAGCACCCGGCTATTGAAAATGTACAGCGAAACTCTTAATTCCTTCTGCATTTGTTTTTGTTGCTATAAGAAGACGCACTGAACTCTCTTTGGGCTGGAACCAACGCTTACATTGCTCCTCTGAGGAGCCAGTAATTGTTTACGGGTCGAATAGTCTGGTCAACACGAAGAAGGGAGTTTCCGCCAAAGGAAAATCCCAGAAGCATCGAAGCTAGGCGCAATATTTTTACACGTTAAGCAGAAGCCAAATCTGGGTTCGATCAGAACCATCCACTTGCACACGTTGCAGCGGCCGTCACCATACCTCGAGTCTTCTAAAACCCCTCGATTGAGGAGAGTGTGCTCATCAGGGCAAGGAAAGAAAGCTCAGTCCTTTTTCCCTCTCCCGAATCACGCCAAAAGCCACTGCGTGAGGGACTACGCCGAAGAATAGACGCCTTTTAGGCATTCAAAGTCAGATCCTGGTTTCCGGTCCCAAAACCCGAAGGATTTTGAAATAGATTTATTTATTTTGTCCGCTTTCGGCCCCAGATTAGTCGAATCGGCTTACAATCTTTTGAAATAGGCAGAGTTCGGGCCAAAACTATGGACATTGCCCCAAAATCACCCCACTCTATGAACATACTACCGTGAAACCAACTATTATTTTTTCCCGACCGACCTACCCACCCAAGAGCGGGGTGGACCGGAAACCGGGGAATAACTTACGACCCGCCTTATCTTGTGCAGGCAGCTCATCTGGTGGCGCGCCCGAGGCAATCTGGGCAGTGACCCGGCACTCCATCAAGCGACCGCGGCCTACGCCTCCGACTTCTCGTTCCTGGAGACGGCACTTCTGCCGCATGGCTTCCTCATCCCCGACCGCCGCCTGGTGGTCGCCAGCCTCGACCACAGCATGTGGTTCCACCGACCGTTCCGGGCCGACGATTGGCTCTTATACCAGGTGAGGGCCCCGTAGATGAGTAGTTTGCCAACCCAAGAAACGACCTTAATTCCTCTGGATTCGTAGGGGCTAAATACTTTACCAGTCTTGATCTGACTTCGGGCTACCACCAGATTCGGATCTCTGACGGGAAGGTTTCGGGCTGACGATTGGCTCTTATACGGTATACCAGGTGAGGGCCGCGTAGATTGGAAACCACGATTGCTGATCGTGGTGATTGAACGCTGGTAAAGTTCTTTTGAGCCTGGTGTATACCAGATTGGGACATTCCTCGCAACGTATTCAGTGAAAGCCAACCTGCGAATCGCTGGCTGTCTTCACCTATTTCTGTTGACACGAAACCTGAGGTTTTGTTTTGTGGGGCCTTTTGAAGAACTGCTCTAGCTTATGAACGACGTGTAGCTGCTTGTCGGAGTTGGTCCGGGTAGGGGGGCCCAACCTCGGGACTGCGTGGGGGTCTTTTGAATAGATGGCGCTTGCAAGTACGTTTGAATCGGGGGTGAACAGGCCCAGGCCTGCTAGGAGAACGCTGGCAAATTGAATCATTGGAGGGGGTCAGACGATCAAAGTGGTGCCGAATCGGGGCCAGCAATCCTCATGCCAAAAACGTCATCCACGCCAAATTGTCTGTCGATTTTCTGATCATTTCCGTTTCCGTCCTCCACTTAGGTGGAGAGCCCACGCTCCTCTGGCTCCCGTGGTTTCTGCTTGGGTAGAATGTACACCCGGAGTGGGGAGCTGGTTGTGTCCACCGCTCAAGAAGGGCTGATCCGATTGGATCCAAGCGTGCGGGTGAAGGGCGCACTTAGTTCAGACGTCGAAAAGGATCCCGCGCTTTTCCCAAGCAAGGTCAAGGAGAAAGATGATGGAGTCGAACCAAGCAAGCCGCTGAGATCACGTTTGTAAGGGTTTTTCAATCAGCATTTATTCAGATGCCGAAAGCTGTGCCCTGAAAGCAAGACTCGTCCAAGATATGTACGTAGCCTGCTTCCGCATCTGAGCTGGGCGGCTCTGTACAAATGATTGTGTAATACACGTCAAATATAGTTCTCAGAGATCCTATTCGAGTGAATTCTGGCCTAAGCTCTTGCCGGGGATCCAGCTAGGGAACTATGTGACGGCAAGTCCGGATGAAACTTAACGTTGGCAGGCTATGTTATGATTGAGCGCATACACCTGCCAGGTCGACACTTCCACCTATCTCATTATGGTCCGCGCACAGGAGGAGTATTCTGCACAATCGCATGTATGGTGATCTGAATGATTGGAAAAAGCGTGCATGGCCCTCACCAAGGAACGTGCAAGAACGGATTCTTTAACAACTTTTTGAGCATCTTATAATGTGGAGCGCACTGATCGAGCAATAAAATAACTCGTTGAAGATCGGAGCGATGAAGCCTTCGATTGGACGCTAGGGCCTGCTGAGTCGTCGTAGAGTACGTCACTTGGGTCGACTGACATTTGTCCGCCCTAGTTGGATGTCCTTCATGATCATTACATGTGGCATCTGGTCGGTCTGAATGATTGCATCCCAGGTGGCAGTGCATGGACTCAGACACTAGTGTACGTGTACCAACTTCCATAAACACGTCACGTCAATCTGCCAGCTAGCAATACTAACTATACTACGATTATGACGAAGCTTAGTACGAAGTGAAAGTATGGGCTCGCTAACTGGCCGCCCATAAATATAACCCCACGCAATGCATGGCATGTTACAATCATGCATGAACTACTCGTTCCACATTGCCAAACACCTACTAAAACATTATCCGACACCGTAGAAAAGTAGGTTTGTAGCACTAAAGTCCCCTAGGTCTATCACTATATCACCCACTACTTAGGCCCCCTTGCTCCTACTTTCCACTCGTGTTCGTTTCCTGCATCTCGACTTCTACCAGATCCTCTCCGTCAGAGTGTTCAACCTCAGAATCCGCGTCCGTGGCATCCGAAGTATCTGGATTTTCCAAATCTGCAACGTGGTTCGCGCCTGTTCTCAGCGACCTGGACAAATTGAAGCACAACGGGTGAGAAAGAGGCCGCTTTGTCTGCATCACTAAAACCAGGAGACATGAAAGAGGACTCCGAGGCTGGAGGCTTTATTCCTTCTGATCATCTACCAGAAACCCAATGAGGATGAATGAATAAATGAATGGCCTTCAACTACAACATAAACCTAGAATGTGAATCCTATAAAGCCGCCTGATTAGCAAGACGGCGACTTAGTTGATAAAGAGGCTCAAACACCATGGCAATCTGCATGTGGCAACCAGATACGGCCGTCAAACAGTAAGCGCCAGACAAACCAGAGTGGTCAAGGCATATGCCTATGCTCTTCTGATATTGAGTGGACAAAGCTCTTACCTCGGGGGCCACCAGATACTCAATATAAGGAACGGCACGAAGAAGTGAGCCCCCATGCTTCTCCTGGAGTGGAACGTCCCCAGAAGATGCTGAACCTGGTTGACAAACTCTCCCCTGACTTCCTCTGGCAGCCTCTTGTTGCAAGCAGGCCGGCTCTCGTCAGTGTGATTCTGATAGACTGCCCAAGCTTGGACAAAGAGCCACAGGAAGGATGCCGCTGTGAATGCGACAGTCAGATACCCCGTGAAGATGGCTACATTGAAAGATGGCGAGTCGCAAAACTCCTTCTCCAGCAGAGTGGGAGTATCCTGTGCAATGCGGTCACAGCTGAAGTCCCGTGTGTTACATGCTAGTGCTTGGCATGTGAAGAAGCTAGGAGGGGCTGCCTGCGAGTCCTTCAGCGAGCAAGAGCTGACTCCTCTCACAAAGGTTGTTGTCCAGATAACAAACACGCCGATGGGTATAAACGTCAAGGCCTCTACAGTAGCTAGAACCACATGGTTCTTGAAGGAATGCCAATCCAAGTCTACACTGAGACGGGGAAGCCCGTTCGTGTTGTAAAGGGTCTGCATTATTCTGTCGCGTTCTTCCTGCCGCTTCCTCCTATCTTTCCTGAGGCGCCTGTTCTTATTCACTCGACCCAGGTCATAATCTAGCTGCTGCCGCTTAGTGGCCAAGACAAGGTTGGTGTAAGCACCAAAAGTCTGCCTAAGGAACGCCACAGCAATCGTCATGGAAGCCAGAACACGGATCGCCAGGCTGGCGCTATGATCGTGCAAGTAGTGTCTGGTTGTCCACACCTCCTCAGGGGCCAGGAGTGAGAAGTCACCCGCCGACCAAAGACTGAATGCTGCTGTAAGCAGTCCTGGAACATAGGTGACTGTGTTGATGAGCATCCCCGTTAGGGAGTTGTCCTCGATAATCTCAGGACTGTAGCGGTGGAACAAGAGGCCCGGTAGAATCCAAACCAACACTTCCAGCAGGTTGCTGTTCGGGTCAATGTCCCCCACAAGGATGCCAAAGAGAGGTGCGAATGCAATGGCGAGCAGCTTTGCGAAGAATGCCAGAGGCTCCCAGAGAATCTGCGCCGTGGACTTCTGCGTGTATCGAAACGCCCGCCGCCTCATCAACCCCAAGAAAAGCGCGATCACTATCATGAGCCATGACGCCTGGGCAATTTTCTGCCTGTTAGTAAATGCGGCACCCCTGCTTCCCCTCCCGAAAGGAACTGCTGCAAGGGAGCAGATGTAGCCCAGCGAGAACGCAGTGAACTCGTGAAACTTGTTCAAACACACGCTGGTAGAGTTGGGATACTTTTGCGACCAACTCACGCAGTCCGCCAGCTGCAAGGCGCCTGGATTCGCCATGGCTGCTTGGCAAATGATCTCTTGCAACGAACGAAGACAGGTTAGAGCTGCTTCGACGCTACAACAGATCACACAATCACCGCTCGGGCCCAGCTGAGGGGGTGTGCTCTCTTTCTCGCTGTCAAGGTGGGCGTATGCACTCGCGGGTGCATTTCAGAACGGACGGCAGACAAGCACTCGTGAGCTGAATGTATCGCACGATGCCAATTGATGGTTACTTGACTAACTTGTTCCGTCTATGCCCACTTTGAGTTTTTGAGGGAACGCCCATTTCTCGATATCGTGTTGACTGGGGTTGACGAATGAGAGTGCCCGGGAGACGGACAGGGTTGAGTGGGGGGGTTAGGGTCGGTACTGGGTAGTGCGGACGAGTGCGGAGCGCGTAGGTATTTCATTTAATGGTTTAGGATTTTGGTTTGTGGTTTGCCCGAGCACCATCCTTCGTCACAATCATTGAGGACCATTAATGATCATTGAGCTCGGCTAGCTGTCGGCGAGCTACTGGTGCTTGCACGCAACACAACCAACTTACAGCCATCACGGCCAGATCAATCGCGACCGTCAGATCGAGGACCGCCTTCCAGATCTGCGATAAGAATGATCCTGAGCCGTCGGTTTGGCTTGGAATTCTTACATCAATTTTCAGTGTTCGAAAAAGGAAGATCCAACTTTCGGACACCCTGCGGACACCTCCGAACAGCAGTGAAAGCTGCTTCAGAGAGCAAGTTGCAGGAGCTATTCAAACAGCAGTTTTTGCTGACGCAGTTGACCATTTCGAAAGCGAAAGAGGGGAGCTTTGAACAGGAGCGAAGGATCAGGCTTGCTGACGCGTATTTGAGCGGGAAGATGCAACTTGAGGCAATTTGACTTGTCCAGTCGTGTCATCTGTGGTGCATGGTCAGGAGCAGCCATGCAAGACCACCAATCAGTTTCTGCGGTGGCATCTTGGCATAGATTTTTTTTCCTTTCCTGAAAGTTGGTCATGTGCTCCGCAAGGGTCTTCTGAAGCTTTTCACCGCAGGGTTTGTTCAGAAGTGAAAAGGAGGTGCTGGAGTTTGAGAGCAGCTCTCTCTCAAATAGGTGTTTTTGGTGGTTTTACGTCTCGTCGCCTCTTTCTCTTGGCAATGGCGGGAGGAGAGCGGCCCGGAAAGAGGAAAAATATTGGGGGCCCAAGATTTGCAGATCCACCAAAGCCTAAGAGACTGTTGACCCAGGCTGAAAGGGACAATAGGAAAAGGCAGAAAGAACAGGTGCCGCGAAACCAAGTCTCATCAAAAGAGATTCAGTCCTGTCCATACCACGGACTGGCCCTTGATGGGGAAGCGATGCGGTGCCCAACATGCGGAAAGGGGTTTGTGGAGAGGAGGGTGGTCAGGATGCCAGAAGAGCAATCTCAGGTTGTGGTAGACAGCAAAACCTTCTGGGATAACTGGCGCAGGAGACTTTGGAATAGGGTAGAATCTCCCTACCATTCTGAGGTTGAGTACAGGTCTGAATCGCCTGTCGACTTCTGGATCTGGCACCAAGTGTTTCGGAAGGAACGGAAGGGGGAGTCCTACTCGACGGCGGCTAGAGAGACAAACATTATGTACCTAGAGACAACGTGGGCAGTGGAGAGATTCTGTGGGTTCGGAGGCATCCATCCTGATAAGGGGTATCAAGCCGCCAAACTCTGCAAACCAGAAAAAGGAATTGGCAGCGAGCTCCTGGTTGTGGTTCCTCCCATTGTAGCCACCCACTCCGAAAGTGCTGTCAAAGGTCCCTATGTGACCATAACTTAGGGCTGGGTCAAGCTTAACAAGCACGGAGAGATTAACAAGGCAGAGGGGATGCCCGAGCCTGCAGAAGGCTGGCCTCATGTGGAGGCGAGAGTTCGAGACCTGGCGGCTTTGATTTCTGCAAGGATGCCGGACATGCCTATCAATTTGGGCATGGTTGAGAGGTCAGAGCAGGTGCTGCGAGGGAAGTACTCGTCAGAAGAGGCGTTTGAAGAAGCCCGCGCTGAGAGGGAGTCAAGGCGCGCGCACGTTTTGCACCCAGAGCCGAGAGCACTCCATGTTCCTGTCGCGCCTCCTGTTCCTGCTGCGCCTCGGAGGGGTCAATTCGATGAGCTCCAGGAGCTGTCTCCCTGGCGGATACATCTAGCGTCCAATCCTTACGAGGCGTTCAAGCTGCGGTCTGGGAGAGAGCTGCAGCAAATTGAAGATGGCGCCTCTGGAGAAGGTGATTTCCAGCTCAATTGGCTGATCAAAAGCTGTCCTTCTGGTCTTTGTTCACGAGGCTGCTGGCCAGGGCTGATAACCAAGTTAACTTTTCGAGCCCACATTGGGTGACAAAAGCTTGCGTGCTTTCTGCTTGAGCTTCTTACATTTGGCAGCCTTTTTAAAACTTCTACATCAGAGCCAGAATCAAAATCCTTTGAACCAGATGCTTACTCGCCATCAGCCGCATTTGGTGGGCACAACATTGGAACCGCTGGGCACTGTACACATTGCAGAGGAGTGACAATCCTTGAAGCATAGGCTCGTGTGCAGGGTATGCATAACACATTTTTGATGCTGATCATGCAAGATCTATGCAGATATCCATATGACGGTATCGAAGGAAGCCAAGTGTGAACTGGTCAGCTAACAACACTGTAGCTTTACATTGTCAATGTTTTTTCCTATAAGTTTTGTTTTTGAGAACAGCAAGGCTTTCAATTTATTGAACGCAAACATCTACAGTGAAGCAACAATCAACTTTGCATCCTTGCAGACGCAGGGATCCTCCTCCCAGCCCGCGTGACTCTGCTTCCACCACCCCTGCCAACTGCCCCCCTGCCTCTGCCTCTCCCCCTCCCTGCCCTTGTACCATTGGAGGAGGGTGTAGGGCCAGCGGCAAACGGCCCTGTCCCCGGTGCCCTGCCAGCTTCCAAACCAACTTCCGATGTTCCTGGGAGGAGCGCGTCTGGCGCGCCTGCCCCATTCCCTGCTCGCCCATCCAATTGGCCAACGTGGCCTCGCTGGCCAGTTTGGCCCCCACCCCGACCAACCTCCGCCCCCATCCCTTCCACCTCCCCTGCCGAGACATCTATCAACCCTTCCGCCAAGCCCGCCCCCCCGCTCCCAACTCCGCCAGCCTTCGGAGTTGGAATCCCTGCCCCGCCCAAACCTCCGTTACGCAGACTCCCACCACCGCTGCCCGTACTCCCCCCTGCACCCCTCGCAGCCGACGGAGGCTCCCCCCCGAAACCTGGCACGTTTTGAGCGTTTCTGCTCGCGGAAGCGAAGCCACGATCAGGCAAGCCACTCCCTGCAGCAATGCTTGAAGCCGCACTCAACCCAGGGGGATCCCAAAGGCTGCTGCCTTGCAGCGCGCCGGCAACAAAGGTGGGTTCCACAACCTCAGGCTCAACCTCCATATCGCTGCTGTGAAAGGCCCGCGTCGCATTGTGCGCTTGCAGAAGGAGCTGGAGGGCTGGCTATGCCTTTTCCACCCGCTTTCTTATCATCTCGTCCGTCCTGCTCAAGACTCCCCTGGCTTCTGCTCGATCCACCTTATTTCGGGCAAGGATATCCTGGTCCGCATCCATCCTCCTTTCCGTTCTTCCTTTCGGCAGGGCAATCTCCGCCTTCATCCTCTTCCGCTCCTGCTCCTTGTGCAGAACCTGCTGGTTTCTCCCTGACTCCTGCCCATCCCCCCGCTTCCGCTTGTTGAAGAACAGGTGAGCATCCGTTTTTCCCATCTTCAAAAGGTGCTCAAGCCCCTGCTGGGATACCACGCTCAGATCTAACGGCAGCCCTCGAATCTGCTCAGGGATGTGCTCCATGCTGAGGTGCATATAGAGGGTGCACATGTCCCCAAACCCTGCCATTGTGTAGGCGTCAACGAATCCGACTGCTAGGTTCTGCACCAGAATAGATTTTGCTGTGCGCTGGGCCACATCCTTGGGGTTTAGCATAGGAGCACGGAGCTCCCGGTTGAACGCCGCAAGCGAGGCCCACACCAAGATGCAGGTTGCTCGCTTGTCAGGCTCGTCGATGACCGACTCACAGATTCTTGTGTACACCCTCTCGTCCAGGATCACGAGCGCCTCCCTACACAAGACAAGGAAGAAAAGAGGATTTGAGCTCCAGTCATGAGTCACAAGCAGTGATCTGATCTGTTGAGCTTGCTTTTGCCCTCCAGTAGAGAAAGAAACATACTTTCCTGCTTGTAAGATACATGTTTCTTTCAAGGTTTTCTTTGCTTCAGTGCTCAGTCTTGTCAATGCTCCTCTTGTCAACTGCTGTTCTGCTCTTGCTATGTGCTCTATTCTTCCAATCACGAGTTCTAGGATTCAGATTGCTGCCTTTTTGCGGCCTTCCAAGCAGTGAGATCTCAGAGGCATTCTGTGTGCACAAGACAGAGGCAAGAAGGGCCCGCAACTTCAGAAGATTGAAGGAGAAAGCTTCGGGAGACAATCTGTTATTGGGATCTGAAGTGTAATAAGAGCACACGATCTGGGAATGAGAAGGGACAATTGCGCGACCTGGAGATTGGCCACATGGGCCCGCAGCTTCAGAAGACAAAGCAAGAAGGCCAGCAAGACGAGCAGATGCGGCAGGTGAGCGCGGCGCACGAATCCTTAGGTGCTGGAAAAGCCTGAGCTGCCCTTAAATAACCCCAGCTACATCTGATGACTCCGCTGATCAGGGGGTGATTTTGGGTTGAAGATAGCTTTTGTAGGTTGACGGTTGGGTTAATTTTGGGAATTCCTTGTGCGAGTGCTGAGCAGTTGGGCGAGCTACTGAATTGGGGCTCATGTGATGATCAGTTCTGCTCCAATTGGAGCTGCAGCTGTGCTTGAGCTTGAGCTGGAACGTTGAGGCATGATGGTACAAAGTCGAAGTATCAAAAAAGGAGCTTAGGTTTTGTTGTCACTCACCGCCCAATGAAGTTGATTGCCTCCGTGTCTTTCTTCGAGTTCCCGTCTCTCTTTCGGATTACAACTTTCTTGCACCCCAGGTTCAGTTTCTTGATGAAGTCGTTGATGATGTCCACTTTCTCCTGCGTGTTCAGGTTGGACTCGATTGTGCGCTGGAATGTGGTGGCTGCCAAACGCAGTAGTGTGTGGAGGATGCAGAGGTAGACGGCGAGGATGCCAATGGGCAGGAGGGGGGCCAGTGTTCCAAACCTCATTCCGTGGTGAGTGGTGGCGTAATCTTTATGTTGGTTTTTGTTTTGGGGTCCGGGGAGTGCGTCTACGGTCGCCTGGTCAGGGAAGCGCTGGGGCCAGTGGGGGCATTTTTCGTTTGGCCCTGTTTTAAGGGGCCTGTGAGCGCCTGCGTGCATCTCTTCTGTGGTTCTGCGCCGTGTTCCCTCTGGAACGCGCCGCCCGTTCTTGACCACGACTGCCCCATAGTTGGACTTGGGGCAGTAACAGAATAGGCAGCCGCTGGTGTGCGAGTGGCCGGAGTGGCCATGAATCTCCGCAAGCCAGACGTAGTCGCCCCCGAGTGTGAGGATAAGTTTGTAGTGGGTGTTGTCCACCTCGATGCCCTCCTTTTGAAGCTGGTCTATCACCGGAATGAAAGGGCTGTAGTACCGCTTGCACGTCTCGTAACTGTCTTTCCCCTCGAACTGGAGAAGGCTCCGCATGCTCCTTGGGTTATGGTTAACCTGCTGCCCGTCTACAATCAGTTTAACCGCAAACTTGCTGGTGCTCACAGCCCTGAAGTAGCTCGCCGCATCGCCCCCAAAGTGCACCCGCAGCTCGTCCTCGCTCAACCCCTTCCTGCTCTCCAGGTACCCGCGGGTGCGCTCGTTGACAATGTCCTCCTCAAGGATGGCCGGGAGGTCCTGCAGCCACGCCGCCGTCCCGTCTTCGTCTTGCAGCACCGGGTTTTTTGCGTGGATCTCCTTCCGGAACTTGCTAACTTCGTTTTTGCTCTTGAGGAGAGGTATGTGGAGCCTACTCTCCTTAGGCCCCCCCTTGTATCCAATCTCAACCCGGTCCCACTTCTTGGTTTTTGTGTTGAAGACCTTAGCCAACAGGTTGATTGCGTCCTGGTACTTTTCCTGATGGCCCACCCGGCAGATGATCTGGAATGTGAGGCACCGAGCTAGAGTGTAGTGGGCAGTGATCTCCTTGACGAAATCCCGTTGTGTAGTCTGGCACCACGCTGGATTGCGCGCGCAGACCTCGTCGAATTGGTTCTGGGTAATCTCAGATTGGAGGATGAGGGAATAGAGGTGCCGGTTGCGGGAGTAGTGCTCAAGAAGGCCCTTTTGGATATCAGCTGGGCTTGCAAATCTTGTCTCCAAGAAAGAGTTCAGCTCAGCCGCCATCTTAAGCAGAGTAGGGGCAGAATCCCCACCGATGGGGCGTGGGGGAGGGGGATTTCCTACAGCCAGTTCAGCTGCTGTTTTGCGGTGTACGAATTGGAGGGCCTGGAACTTTCTCCGCAGTATTCTGTGTTGTTTTTCCTTTTGAGCCAGCTTGACCCTAAGCTCGTCTCTCTCTTTCTCTATTTCTGCCGGTGTTTGTTCCTCCCGCTTTTCCGCATTTCTGTCCTTGATCATCTTTGCTAACTCCGCCTTCACATTTCTGTTCTCCAGACGCAATTGCTGCTCCGCTGGCCGCACCGTCATCCCTGAACCCCCGCATTGGCTTGTGGAAGCCTTTGAGAATCGTCCCCCAACCCGAGCTTGAGTGGCTGCCCTAGACGCGCGCGCTGCGGCATCCCTCTCTCTTGCCGCTGCCCCCTGCTTTGCGGCGTCTTCCGCCGCTACCACCACAGTTGCCACGAAAGTAGCCTCTGCAGCTTGCTGCGCAATCAGCGACAGGCGCTTGCGCTTCCTCACAGCTCTTGCTCCATCCCCCCCCCATGTGGGAAAAGGTGAGGACGACATCTGAACCTCTACCAACAGATACCTCTACAGTAGCAGCAAGCCTCTTAACTCCGCCTAGCCTCAGCTTCGCTCGCCACCATAGAGGTTCTGCAAATGTGCAAACAGCCTAGCTGGGGTCAGGTCTTGCGGATTGACCAGTACGTTTTTTGCTTGAGGAGGGTAAGGCAGTTAGGGTTCTGTGGTCGGACATGTTGTCATGGTTAATTTAATGCCGGTTTACTTTAACCGAATTTAGTTGGGAGTCTACCTTTGCATGAGTCTATATGTTTGGTCGGTGCAGCCATTGGACATTTGTTGGAGCATGCGCGTTTGTCCGACATGCACCTGTGAATTGTATCACTAGTGCACTTTATAATATGAGCTATTCAATCCCAAAGATTGGAGTAGAGACGGTAACAGCATGAGCTTGAATGTAGCTCCCGGGTCATGCCAACAATAATTGTAGATTGCTTTACCACTCAGTGCCAACAGTATTTAATTCCCAACTCATCCATTGAAGCCTCTGAAGCTTTGCAATTGTAATTTGATTTGCACGCACAATGATTGTATTGAATTGTTGAGTCGGCTGCGAATCAAAAACGGTTGAGGGCACAACACACAAAAGCAACAAAACAAGCTGTGCCAGTATGCTGTAAATGATATCTATAAAAGCAACCTACTTGCTAATCTGACGTAGTGGTTAATGACGGGCAAACCGTGCAATAGATCTCGTTTATTTTGTAGTCTGGTTCAATTAAGGAGTCAAGTGACAATTCTTAAAGCTCCGAAAACCAAAATTTTCATTCCCGAATCCCTCATTTGCCAGTGGAGTCTAATCCTCTAAGTCTAGCTACGGTTGCCACGAATTAGGCAGCGGCAGTTCGATTTCCACAAGCAGCCTGCACTGTAGCTGGGTCCATAGCGCGTCCGTCCGATGGATAATGTCGGGCCAATGGACCAATCGTGGCCGTCGGTCTTCAGCGTGACCGACATTGCCATGACGGTCCTAAAAGCTGTCGCCGAACCTTTGTGCGCGTTTCAGGCGCGCGCGTTCAGTTGACTCCACTATCGAACCGTATCGAAATCGAAGATTTTGCGCGAATTCTTCGATTTTGATAGTTCGAAAGTCCGGAGCCAAATTTGGAATCCGCGCTTCGGACCACCGCCGCCGGCCCGGAAGTTTTGTTCGGACGACCGTCCGAAGTTGGTTGTACAGCAACCTGTTCTGGCCAACCTGTGATCAGCAAGCCAAATGAAGTTCGGTGTTAAATTTGAGCCACTCACA